CTATGACACTGACCCCACATTACCTTCACACTCAACTGTACAGCAGGATATGAAATTAAACACCCCCAATAAAAGGGTAATAATGAGTATTTACCTGAAAAAAATTAGCATAAGCTAAATTTTCACCCAGAATTTACTGAAAGGACTTTCAAAACAAAAATTGCAGATTATTGACTGTATATCCCAATCATACACTTTATATCGTTCTCCCTTTTAGTCAGAGACTCAAATTATAAATGTCCCGCAGTGGACTGATCGTTAAGACACGGTTTCCAGCAGATCACCGAAGTCAAGCATCACTGGCTGCTGTCAGTGTGCGGGTGGGTGACCACTTGGATCAGTCTGCGTAGGGACCGAGGGTGTGCGGTATTGGTCCTCGCTAAACTGTGCTACCGTAAAGTGCTCGACTTCGCGCGCAGGTCGTCGGGCTACCGAAGCGGGGGTGCCATCCCCTCTGCAGAGGATCAAAATTGAGATGGCATGTCTTCGGATCATCCTCCGGGATGTTTCCCAGACCGTCGCCAATAGCCCATTGTGCAGCTCTAGTGCGACGTAAATTAACAACAACAAATTATAAATAACTTCAATGCATATAAAATGTGGAAATTTGTCCACTACAGACATAAGAGAGAGAAAGAACAAAATCATGACGAATAACTCAAATCAGGAAAAATAAATATATAAAAAACATGATAAACTATTTTGCACAAAAAGAAAACATTTTAATTGCTTTTATACTTAAAGTTCATGTATATGTTATATATAAGTCTGTGTGTGTGTACGTTCGCTGTCCAACAAAGTTGTAAACTTTGCATGTAAATTAACTTCAAATTTAACTCTAGCCTTAGAATCTTATAGCCAATTTATTAACTTTCACTTTCTGTTTTGAAAACTATTTTTTAACTTTACACTTTTATCAACTTAATTTTTACTTTGTGACAGCAAAGTTTTAGGATTATATTTAACTGTACAATTCTTACTCTGAACATTTTCACTTATATAAAAAAATAAATGCTTTATATGTGGATAAACAGTTTCATTTTGAGACAATTTATTTAAACTTCTAGTCAATCGATCTAACCTGTTTTCCTCTGTAATCAGCATACATGGCAACTTGTCCAGGGTAAAATCACAATCTGGCTATCTTTAGATTATTTATACTACACCAAGATATTCTTATAGAAAAGATCTAATACCTTGGAAATTATCTTGTCTTTTAATAAGAGCTTTGTCTTTTAGTGAATGTTAAGCATCTTTCAATTGAGCAAAGTCATTATTTTAGCGATAAATGCAGATATTGCATCTAGTCCCGAGACAAAATTTAAGATGAAAAATTTATCAAATAATAAAATGATACTATGAATGATTTAGGGTCAAATATATATTTTTTAAAAACTTTTAACACTGTTGACCATGTTCATGACTTCACAATATTACCGCTCCTCACTTTGTAAATAACAAAGTAAAAATAGGATATATCTTTTCTTGCTATAAAATAGTTTTTTTTAAAAATTTATTGCTATTATTTAAAAGGTGAGCCGCAATGACTCAGTGGTTAAGACACAAAACGTCAGTGTGAAGAACTGAGGTTCTATCCCCAGTGGTGGCTTGAAGTTCACCCAACATTGATTGGTATCAGCTTATCTTAACCTCCATGAGCTCCTGGCCCACAATGAGCTATTGTGAGAATGCTTTAATTTTAGCTGAAAAAAGTATTTCTTGTATGTCCACTAGTTGCATTATGACTTTTGATGTTGTTGTTGTTACTTTAAGTCGCACTAGAGCTGCACAATGGGCTATTGGCGACGGTCTGGGAAACATCCCGGAGGATGATCCGAAGACATGCCATCACAATTTTGATCCTCTGCGGAGGGGATGGCACCCCCGCTTCGGTAGCCCGACGACCTGCGCGCGAAGTCGAGCACTTTACGGTAGCACAGTTTAACGAGGACCAATACCGCACACCCTCGGTCCCTACGCAGACTGATCCAAGTGGTCACCCACCCGCACACTGACCGTAGCCAGTGATGCTTGACTTCGGTGATCTGCTGGGAACCGTGTCTTAACGATCAGTCCACTGCGGGACTGACTTTTGATGTAAAAACTTTATTTTACTCAGATTTCATATTTTACGTTTTTCATTCTGAAAAAAATAAATGAATCGAATTCAAGAAAAAAATAAATGAATCGAATTCAAGAAAAAAATAAATATCTTTTATTCAACTATTTACAAAACAAGGAAATCTTTACAAACTGAACAAAAACATTTACAAACTAATATATTTAAGATAATATTAGAAAATATATAATGTTAAATTAAAGTTAATATTATAGAAGGAGAAAGTGAAATAACATCTTAAAAAAAGTATCTTTTCCATCGTTTATAATAAGACTGGGAGTCAATTTATGTATCTAATGCATGCAAGATCTCTGATTTCGAAGTAAACAAATGAGGATTTACTTTTACGCTTGTTCAATTTTTAAATCTAAAATATGATACTGAAAAATATCTTTAGGAATTATTTCTCATAATAATAAATAACATGATTAGCAATTGTAAGCTTATGGAAAAATTAATTTCTGTTACTTCTTATTCTTCTGAGGATTATTAACACAAATTGTGTGTAGGGTGTTTTAACAAATGCTTGATAAAATCAAGTTGAATTATCTTAAAACTCAATTACTACTTGTTCAGTTTTGAAGAATAAATATTTTTAAACAGTTTAAACAATTCATAAATGAGAATAACTAAGGGAAAAAAAGAACTTGAAAAACTTGCTAGGAATTACTAGGTATGTATTCTACATAATTCAAGCTCGAATATCCCTTAAGATATTTGTTAATTGTAAAATATCAGAAAAGAACATTAGAATCTTATAAATGAAAACATATAAATGTAACCATTATTAATCTGTCAAAATTTCACTAACATTAACACATATTATTGACAAAGAAATATATTAAGGCCAAATAAGGATATGATAAAGTTATTTTGCATGAATAAGCATTGGTTGAGTAAATACAAACCATTTTTATTAAGAAAGAAGTATTTTTATATTCTAAGAATGGGAATTTATTTTATTTTCCCTACTTTTGAGCCCTAATATCTATTATGGAAAAACTTTCAGGGACGTTTAACCTTATGGTTGGTATAACAAGTGTACCAGAATGACAGGCTTCATAATGCTACGTGCCGTACATAATAAGTTAATCGATATTTTTGATTTACATGCCGCCTGGGCAGCACAGAATATAGCTAGACGAATTATAGGAAAGAAATTTGAATATTCAAGGTTCTATGGTACATTTTAATTTGCAGATATTGTGATAATTAAGACACATTTACAATTTCAATTTATAATGTGTACGAAATGACCCAAGTCAAAAATAAAAATAAATTTGAAATCAAAATGTAACATGTTGTACTTTTAAGCAAATATTTAATAAATATTACATAATAAATTGCTTTGATTTGGAAAGAGAATCATAAAACTGACAGAACCTGACAGCATCAAATCAAAATCTAACTCATGCTACAACCAAGAAATTACATTGTGCATTTCAATCAAATAATTTGTTTTTTACTTCGCAGCAAAAGCTTTTCCTCCTGATTTTAGAAACTTCTTAAATAATTCTTATAGAATTACTTTATACATGATATATATTTATCTTAGTAATTGATTGGATTATTACACCTTAAAAGATCAAAAAAGAGGAGTTATACAGAAATTTAACACAATTCTTGAAGATCTCGATTTTGCTGCAGACATAGTACTTTTAGCATCCAAATATACAAACCTTCAGCATAAAACTGACATTTTCAAGACATTTTCTAATAGCGTAGGTTTATATATAAACAAAAAGAAATAAGAAAAAGTCAAAAGAAAAATTTAAAATCAAGAGATAAACAAAGTAGAATTGTTTAACTATTTAAGTTCAGTAGTTGATAAAAAAAAAAAAGGCGGCAGTGGTGAAGATATAAGGCAGAGAATAATTAAAGCAAGAACTTGCCTTAAAAAACTGCATACATTTTTGAGAGAACCAAATATTGAAATAAAAGCAAAAATAGTTGTTTTCAAAGCAATTGTCAGAACAGTTTTACTTTATGGTACAGAAACATGGAAACACAAAAAAAAAAAAAAAAAAAAGAAACATGAAGAGNGGAAAAAAAAAAAAAAAAAAAAAAAATTTGAAACCTTTCAGAACAAATGTTTGAGATTTATTTTTAAACTTTTCTGCCCATACAAGAAAACAAAGGCAAATCTTTTGAAAAAAGCCAAAAGTAAGAGAATAGCAGTGGAAATTCTTTCAAGGAGATGGAACTGGCTGAGTCATGTACTTAGACCACTTTACAATGTATGATATTAAATGAGTTTAAGATCTTAGACATTTCTGGATTAGGAACAGGCGAGGTTTATTGCTGAGAACAGGATTAGATGGAGAGATATGCTAACAGCCTTATGTGCTCTAAGAGGATAAGTAAAGTTACAATGCATGGTTCCATGCTGGTCAATTTGTATAAGCCATAAGTAAAAGGTCAAAAAAGTTTCTATCTGTTTTGCTACAGTAGAAATAAAGATTGAAAAGGATAATTTTAATAATTTAAGAGCACTTATTACAAAAAACCTATAACAATAGTGATGCACTACTTTGGTAGCAAACTCTTCTGATTTCTGTACAATAATAGTAAAAAATAAACTGCAATTAAAAACAGAGAGTAAGATAGAAACTATAACCCATATAAAATATTAGATATATGCATCGTAAAAATATATCTATAAATTTTGATAAATATTGCACATTGAATGAAACATTGAAATTCAAAATTTTTAAACAAAACAAAGATTTATACTTATAGCACTATTTAATTTAATTTGTCTCAGTTATTCAACTACCTAATTATGTTATATTATAATATTTAGAAATTTTGTTAACTCTAATACTATAAATTATTCATATTTTTTTCAAAGCAAATTACAAACAAGCAAAATTACATTATACATAATTATTTTTTACAAAAATTTTAAGATATCGTTTAAACAGACAAAAAATTTTTCAAACTATCAAAACAGACAGTTATATTAAAGACAATCTATTCATAAATTTATATTTAGACTCAAATGAGTACCAGTTTAAATAAATTAACAGATAACAAAAATAATATAAGCAGGTTGCTTAAAAACTGTATTAAATGCCTATTTAGAATTTTGTAATTTTTTTATAAGATCCATTAACTTTTTCTGCGATTCAGTATTTTTTATACCAATTTCATACAGGTCAGATGGTGTAAGATGAAGAAAAGTTTCCATATCAATCTATAAAAAACAAAATTAAACATACATTAGCAATTCTGCATATTAAAATGATATCAGAACTGGAATAATAAATAAAACAATATAACCAACAATTATTGCTAATATTAGGAGGATCCAATATTTAAATCCCAATCAGCAGTTTAAAAATAAAATACAGTAAAACTTTGATAACTTGAAGCAGAATGGATAGCCAAAAATAAGAGTTTAAGTGATCCAATTCAACTAATTGAATTAATAATTTGTTTTATTATGCAATAATAGGTACATTATTGATGTTTGCATGGTTTACAGTTAAAAGATACCCCTCAGTTCCCAAATAAATATAATTTTTGATAACTCAAATTTCCAATACTTAAAATTTTTTCTTCCCTCCTTCAAGTCTGAGACAAAGAGGTTTGATTATTTTCACTAACAGAAGTAATGTTTTAAAAATGTTTTCTAAAATACAAATTTCATAAATATTTAAAAATAAAATAAGTCACAATGTTAGTTTTGGACTGAGTACTTTTGAAATAACAACATATGAATGATAACAATGATCAATTAGTAATTCAACTCCTGTAAATGAAAAAAAAATTTAAGACTCTTGCATATAAGCAATTATTAATCCCATACAATTATTATTAGTACATAATTATCATTAGTTATCCTAATTATCATTAGTACAAAACTGGCAGAATGATGATGAATTAAGGTTAAGTAACATAGTTAAAGTAACAAGAGTTCTCTATAACTTAATTTTGAAGAAAACTTTCCTGAATTTTTTTTCAATCATTCAGATGTAGAAAATTATATGGTGAAGGGCTCTAACTTGTATCATGTAAACATCAAAATAGTAAACTTTTTAACATTTTTTATGTTAAAATAGCTTTCTATTATTCTCATACTTTCAATTATTCTGCATGGTATTTCATAAATTGCAAAATTGTAATTTCTAAATATTACAAAAAGATATACACATAGTTTTTTACTATTTATAAAAAAATATTTTTTGAAAGTTAAATTCAATAGCAAAAAAAATTAGTGAGCAAAATCAAGATTAATTTTAAAGAAATATTTAGTTTTTAAAAAAGGGGAAAGGTAATGCAAGGACTAAAAGTAATAATTCAATGTCAATTTTTTTAAAAACTTTTTTTCTTATTTAAAATTGTTTTGTTACTTTAGTTTCAAGCAAGTAAAACAACTCAAATATTATAGATAATTTTTTTAAAAAATATTCTACTCACTTCTTGATTTCTAAATGTTTCTGTATATTTCTGTAGAGATTCTTCATTTAGAAACAGTGCTAAATCCCCTAAAAATAACAGATTTATGATATTTAGTAAATACTGTGGAGTCCCGCAATAAAGAAACTGGGATATAGTAAACCTTAAGTTGCAGTGAAGTTTTTTTTTTTATTCCTTCTGAACTTCCATTTAACTAACATTATTTCATATTTTATAGTTTACTCTAATTTCATTTCTTCAGTTTTCTTTCTTCTGTCATGTCTTTAATTTTAAATTTGAGAGAGTTTTAATTCCAAATTGAGGCAATTCTTTACACTATGTCAAATTTTACTATAACATGTTCTTCAAAAAAGTTGTGAAGCAACACATCCCTCTTCTTACCCCCCTCCCTCCTTCATATTGAGGAAGAACAAGAAAATTTGCCAATTTACCTCTGAAGTGAAGAAAAAAAATTATAACAGAAATAGGGACTAGAACACACTGGATTCTTTAGTAATTATCGATACAAAAATTGGTAAATTCTGCTTAAAATCGAATTGTAGTCAATCGAAAATCATTTTTCCACGGAATGTAAAATTTTTTTTATTATTCTTAATCTTTAATTAATCAGATGAAAATTTATTTAAAAAAATTATGAGCTATTGTAATTACTATTTTTATCACTACTATTTTTATGTGCTAAAAAACAATTTTTCAAAACTTTGGAAATAATGATCTACTGATTATAGTGAACTTATAACTGAGTTCATGGACAGCTCACTATGATCAAATTCGGCTGTAAATAATTTTTATTTTATTTTCCCAACATGATTATATTTATACAAATATAGTAAAATCTCTATTTTCAAATGAAATTAGGCTTGAACCTACTACCCAAAATTGAAATATTCATATTTTAATGGCGTTACATAGTATTTAAATTAAATATTTTNGAAAGCCGTGGCATGCAGAAGAAAGGACTGGTGCAGTCTTCTTGAGAAAGCCAGGGTCCACCGAGGACTGTCGAGCTACTGATGATGATGATTGAGATACAATGAAATCTCTCAGGTCTGACCATTCTCAATTCCACAGTGAAGTGGTCGATAATGGAGGTCGGTCATTCTTAGGAGATACCTCCATTGACTAAAAAATGTTATCAAAGGTGCATGATTTTTAGCAAATGACTTTAATTTTAGTCAGTGTCATTTTCTTGGTGTGGAAATGGCACTTGTGTTGGTGTCATGAAAACCGTATCGATAAATGAAATTCGGCATCAATAAAAATGATCCCTACTGATATATTTATGAGTGATAGAATTATTTTAAATAAATAAAAAAAATTGTTTTGTGTTTAAGTTTGCATTTAGTTTTATATCGTAAAAACTAGTTAGCTTTAAGAAATGAGAAGCGGTTTGTTTGTTTTAGATGCTTAGTTTTTTTAAAGTAACATTTTTTTCTAATTTAACTTTTAACTCTAAAAATAAATCATTGAATAACATCATCTTTAATGCACTCTGACTGCAACATGAGGTTGTAGATCTCTTTTAGAGATCGTCAGACAGAGCTCTCTAAATAAGAACTTCGCACAAATATCTTAATTACATTTTAATCATCTATTTGTTTTGTTAATATTTCTTCATGTTTCCTTATTTTCCCTTTTTCGCATTTGGAGTAGAAGTCAGCCTTGTCATTGGGAGAGGTTTTGACCATCCATCTTAAAAGTTTTCTTCAACAGAACTCCATGAAAAAAAAATTCTTTGATTCCAAAAAGTGGTCGTAAATAGAGGAGGTAGCTACATAGATAAGGTCGTTCCTCACTGTATTTTATTATAAAGATATTCAAAATCAAAGTTCTGTTTTTATTTGACTTGTATTATTTAAAAAATTTCAAATAACTACTTAAGATTTTGCAATGGTACAGGGAAGACAGGATTTAGAATGAGAGAAATTTATAAAGTGAACATTTTTTTAAAAAGTATTTGGATAACAAAACTAAATCAAATTTTATAATATTGTCATAACATAGCATTTGAAATAGTATTATAGTGAACAAGATGATATAACAAAAACTTTTTTTTAGAATAACAAAAGCATAATTCTTTCAGTTACCTGCACTAAGTTTATTATCAATCAATAAAGTTTCAGTTTGCTGAAAAATAAAAAGAGATATAAAAGACAACAAAATATTCCATAAAAAAACATAGTTTAAATTGAAATTAGTTAAAAGTACTTTGCAATACCTCAACTACAGTGTTTGAAGATAAAGTCAGATTTTCACATTGACTATTTAGACTAGAACATGTTTCATTTTCTTTTGTTAATGACCTAAAATATAATAGCAGATACAAAAATTGCTAAATTGTATAACAATTTTCTTGCAATTCTAAAATTTAAAGTGAAAGAAGATTAAGACTCCAAGATGAGCAAAAATGTCATCATAAGCATTAAAAAGTTAAAGAATAAGAAAAGTAAACTGTGTATAAATATAGTTCACCCATGCAAACATAGTACACTTATAAAACTACTATAGTAGGAAGTAAGAATACAATGATTTGGACCAGTGTAACCATAATACATTCATTAAAAAAATTAAAGCAATAACAATAATAAAAAAAAATAAGACATAGATCACTGGATGCCAATTTTTTACAGACTTTATTTAAAACACATAATGTTACTAATTGATGTTTAAAAGTTTTCAAGGTAAGAAATAATGGCACAATTAACCTAGATGTCAGGTTGATATTATGCCCAAGAAATTTTATTTATTTATTGCTGCCTCAGACACTTAATCAGAAATTTCGAAACGTGGAAAAATATCAGTATTTTGAAGAATAATAATGATTCTCATATTTTTCTTTAATTTGACATTTTAAATATGCTAAATTAATTGGTTTCTACACATTTTAAAAAAAAGATTAATGAATGTAAAAAAAATCTTTTGTTTTAAATAATGATATTTTTAACTTTAACTGTTATTATAGCATTCAATAATAGTTAAAAATTCTCATCATTTAAATCACTGACATTAAGTATTATTTACGATTCATTATTACAGTATTTACACTGATAAAACTGTATTAATGGAACATTTTATATTGAAATGAAATATATTAATCATTCTTAAATTATAACTTTGATTTTCTTAAAATTTAACCTTAACGTTGATACAAAATTTTTTTTATGAAATACATTTATAATAATATGCAAATCAATTTTTTAAAGAAATAATGATGCTTATGTCTTTGATAAAATAAAGCTTTAAAAAATATATGCTTTAATAAAATGCACACCAACTCTTTTTTTAATATATATACATATACATAAATGAATAATAATTTTTTCCCTAAGTGATTGATTATTGATCACGTGTACTTCCTTAGCTGAAAAATTTAAGTATAATAATAAAAAATAACTTGTGTATTGATGTTTCTTCAAACTCCACCAACAAACTTAAGTTTCAGATTTCCAGTTAACTTTTGTTTATATTTTTGTCCAACTTAGGTTTAATGAGCAAATTGTCTCAGCCCTTATTCAGAACAATTTTACTTGTACTAGTCTTTTCTCCACCTTAAAATCTTCAAAAAATATGAGAAACAAAAAAATCATAAATAAATAAAAGGAAATTACTTCTCATGTGGAGTAATGACTTTTTCATTTGTTTCTACATTGCAACCAACTAAAAAATAAAATTATGTTAAGCAGAAAAAATTATTTAACACTCCAACATACATTAATGCAAGAATTACAATTGAATGTTATTTTTATTAATAAAAATTTTAAGCAAACAACAAAGTGCCAATGGTAGAAAAAAAATAGAATTATTCATAAATTTACAGTTTTAATAGCATGTACAGTGCAAAGATGAAAAGTGAACATCCTAAATAATTTTTGATTAGATTTTCAGGTACTAAGACTCTATTCTGCACATTTTGTGTTTTCTAAAAAATAAAATTTTGAAACATGTGTGGGAGGGTTTGTGTCTTCATCCAATAATGGGCCAAAGGTGTTACTTACAGAGACAAAATTTAGCAAGAAGATTAGATGTTGAATCGAATTTTATTGCGTTTAATTGTTGAATGTTATCGTTTAACACATGAAAACCTTAATGTTTTTATTCATTACTATCATCCTTAGTGTCTAAACATCAAAATGTTAATTTGCTGTTTAGATATTGAGGAGAGTTCTTGTTTAGAGAACAAAATCTATAGCTTGTCCATTTCTGTACTCTATTTACAATGTTTTTCACTTTATTCAATATTTTGATGCTTTTCCCATTTTGGCATTTTTTTAAATCTTATTTTAAAACTTATCTAAAAATTATTTCATCTTAGTCATGCATTTATTTACTGTTCTGCTACTTTACACTGTTATAAGTTAAGCCCAAATACAGTCAAATTTGCATGAAAATAGAGTGAAAATTAAAGAAATTATAGTGATGTGAGTATTAAAGACATTACTTTAAGAAAAAAACTTTTAAAATGTGCAAAATACACTTTATCCATACGCATGTTAATTTCCAACAATATATATTTAATTAAGCATTTTTTTTGATTATATAAAATTATAACTCTTACTGTATTTTTCCCTTTTTTCCTGTCTGCTAAAAGGTTAAAAAATAGAAAAAAAAATTTCAATATATAAACAGTTTAAAAATAGAACAACAAAATAAATCACAAGGATTCAGAAATGATGACAGCAAATGTTAGCTAATTTTATATTTTGTGTCAAAAATCTCATATTTAAAATTAAAATAATTTAATAAACAGTTTGACATACTTTTTTAAACTTTCAACCTTATGCAAATTATTAGGTAAAAAAATTTGCAAATATAAGTATTTATTACAATTTAAATTACAAACTTAAAATAGTTGACTAAGCTCATAGCATAAATTTTTTGTGATCTGAGTTAGTGCCTTGAAAAATTATGGTTAATTCTATCAAATTTTTGTAACTTTAATTCTTGTTCATATATAAACAAATGACCGGCCCATAAAAAACCCCACTTAAGTAAATTAAGAATGTTAAAAATAAGGATGTAGAAAAAAATTTATTTACAAAATTTTTTATTAAATAACTATCTAAATATCTGTAATATATCAGAACCAATGAATACTAAATATAATTAATCTACTTTAATATACATATATCTATAAAAAGATATTAAAGTAGCAATTTAATTATTTACAATAGAACACAGAAAAAATAATCCTTTTAATGATGACATATGAAATGAAATAAAATCAATATATACACAAACGAACAATTTTTTTTCTCAAATTATATTGATTTATACATTACTAATTGAATAGAAAATATATATTTGTCAGTATACTTATATTAATAGCAGCATATATTTACTTTTCAGTTAAAATATATTAAAATAAATAGCTTAACTATAAGTATAAAATTAGATGTGTTGAACTTTTTAAATTTTTTATAATTGATGAAACAATACATAGATAATAATATACAATGTAACAATTCATACCAGATTGTTTCTTTCGATAATAACTTTTCAAAAGGTTAGGGACTCGAAGAGAATTTTTTTGATGCTGAAAGTAAAAATTTTATTATTTTATTACATTTAAAATACAAATGGATGAAATTAAACAATTTATCTAATTGACATTAAACTAAGGTTAATATTTATACATTATAATTATGCATAAAAAATTTAAAAGCTATTTTTAGTTTAAAATTACTGAATACACACTCATAGTAATGAGTAACTTTTCTTTAACTGTAGACATATCTTGATTTTAAAGATGCAACGAATTATGTTTTGAATAGTCTTTTGAACTTAATTAATGTTTGGGCAGTTGAGTGTAAGCTTTTCTTATAATTCAATTATTGCATTCTCTCATTACTATTTAACAGTTGTTAGAAAAAAGTGGTATTAATACACTGTGCCAGAAATATTTAGCTTACAACTCTCACATATAATTTTGCAATACTGCATATGATTGAAAAAATTTGCTAGTACATAATTAAATGCTAAAATCTAAAAAGAAGCTGTAACTGCCATACTTTTTTGTTATAGTTTTTACAATAAAAAAGTGTGATACAAAATTTTTAACCAGTGCAAAGAAATAAGACTAAAGGCTTACTGGCAAGGTTTCTATGGTTTTTACAAATTGCACTTACATTATCTTTAGCATTATTCTAACAAATTTTAATTTTGTTTTTCTTTGAAATTCAAAGTTTGATACTTACAGCTTCCTATCTAGCTTTGAATGATAAACAAAACTACTTTATTTTATTCGCATAAATTTTTTTTTAATTGTCTCGAAGTAAAATATTAGTCGGATTGCTTTTTCATTAATATTCTCTTAACATTCAAGAAAGAATAGTTTAAGTCTATTTTTCCCAACTATGCCAACTGGATCGCTCTCTGTTATATTTGAGGATTGTGGAGTTTTGGCAAATTAAAAAAGTGAAAAATTGGTACTTGCAAGTTGTTACACAGAGAAGATATATCATACTGAGAAAAAACCCGTCCTTTTCGCACAAATTTTTTTTTCACGAATCAGCTTTTATGGACATAAAAAGTTCTTCTCCTGCAATCTTTAATAACAAAATGTTAATTCAATTTGGATTCTATCTGGTGCCATGTAATTTAATAGTCGGTCATAAGATACAATTATATCTTATTCATTATGCTGCAAAAAAAAATTTTTAAAAAGAGATAGTTTTGCATCTAAATTGCTAAAACTAATTTTTTCTAAAAATTGCTAAAACTAATTTTTTCTAAAAATTGCTAAAACTAATTTTTTCTAAAAATTGCTAAAACTTCACTTTTTAACAAAACTTTACCATTTTTTACAAAAGTATTTTACAATGAAGAAAATAATAGAATTTATCAAAGGATACATATGCAAAGACCCAAAAAGTTTTGAGAAATTCTATAAAAAAAAGACCACAAATATTTTTGAAATATCACCATAAAGACCACAAATATTTTTCTACATTTATAACATATTACATACATCTCTATATGTTAGCGCTCACACCACATAATTTGCCTAATGAAAAAGTGTTCAGAATAGAAAAAGTTTAAGAAGAAGATCAAGGTGATGAATTAAGATTGATTAGATTCATCAAATGATTTATTCGTATAATAAGGTCTAATCTGATAGTATTAGTTCAAACAGCAATAAGATGGGTTAGTTCTACAAACCAAAACTAGGAAAGCATTTTTCCAATAACTTTTTCAAAATGTAAAAATTTAACTAACAATTTCCACATGACATGATAATTTGTTAATTGGTGCTAATTTAGTTTTCAATTGTTAAAATAAATCTATAACCAAAAAAACAATCAACAGTCAAGATCAAAAACTTTACATCATTTTTAGAAACATAAGGATCTTGCATCTGATTCAACTGGACTGATCAAATAGTACCATCAGATTCTCAATTTTTTATAGCACATTTCAAATGAATTTAATTTTGAATTAAAATAAATATTTTTCAAAAAAAAAAAATTTGTTTTTAAAACATTTGACTATCTCAGAGTTGTAGAACCCAACATTCTTTCAAAAATTATGTGTTATTTATGTGTCATAATACAGAACATTATTGATTTAACATGCATAAGTATTAGTAACTAAAATAAATCAAAATTAGAACAACTGAAATATTACTTGAGTTTTGATAGTGAAAGCTTTAGAATACAGACAACACAATGCATTTTAGAATATTAATGGTGAATAGTTCAAAACTTACTTTTTTATTTTTATCTGACGATCTTTTATAGCTTTCTTTCATTGACATAACAAAATCAGTTGATATAGGCGGAAAAGGAGGGATGATTGCTTCAACTTTGTGCTCTTTTAAAACATCTGCTAAATACTAAAAAATATTTGCAAAAGTAATATAAAACGGTTTTAAATTTCCTCATTACTTCAATAGTTTTTAAATAATAAGTTCTCTTAAACAAACCAAAAATTCGTAAAAAAATCAAGATAGAAATTTAAATTAAATAAACAACTCCACATAGAAAATATACTTAACAGACCACAAACACTTAATAGCTTCTCAAAGCTTTAAACTTCTAATTATTTAATATTACTACAATTCCTAACTTATTTAAAGCATAAAAAAATAATTAATTAAAAATAATAATAAATTGATCAATAATAATTCCAAGCAATAATAATGCAATAATATCTCCAAAAAAACGGGGAAATGAAAAAAAAAAAAAAAAAAAAAAAATTATTNAAAAAAAAAAAAAAAAAAAAAAAAAAAAAAAAAAAAAAAAACAGAATTATTCTTAAATCATAAAAAGTTTTTCCAGCAATTTAATACATTAATAAACAGTTTGACTTCTTATTAACCAAAAAAAAGTATTTTTGTGACATTTTGTTCAAAGTATTTTGTATAAAACTGAAATAAAAATCTTTCGTTAAAAATCTTCTACGAGTTACAATAAAAATATTTCAAGCCAGATACAGAGAATTGACTTTTACCACATCCGGAGATAGTATAATTGAAGAATTCGAAGTTTCTTTATCCAATTCTTCAGGTTGAGAAGTTTGTTCAAGAAAGACTTCATTTGAGGATTCATCACTGGTAGTTATATTTGTACTTGATGCATTCTCGGAATATTTAGGAGAGCGCAAAGTAAGCATTTTGTTTTGCAAATGCTGGGCCATGCCTCCAATCCATTCCTAAAACAAATATGAATTTAAAAAAGTGTAGGAATGAATATTACACGAATACAAAGGAGAGATTTTCAGCTTTTATGTTACTAGCTATCCAGAAAAAAAGGGAACATTACATAAGTTTAAATATTTTTTGTATTAAAAAAAATCATATAAACAAAAGAAATTTTTTTATTACAATTTAAATTATATAGGTGTTTAATTTTAATATCAAGATGTATAGATTTAATTAAATGACAGTCCTCTATTGATATTTCTTGGAGGCAGCCAACAGTGCATTAATAGTATCACAGTGAAGGTTTCGATACTGCTATAAAATTTGAGGGGAGCGGAAAAAATCAAACTGCTTTGGTGCTGTAACTTCCAGCCACTAAAGGACCCTTAGGTTCTCTAGTGGGGTTAAGAAATACAAAGTTTGTACAAAGTGCAATGCTACTCCACACTATCTACTCAGTTGTGTAGCATTGACACACAACTAAGCAATGTACTTTTCAACTCCTGTATATAATGATCTATCCTAGAAGAATATTTATTGTAGCAAATAAATTTGTATTTTTACCAATTCAGCATATAAAAATAAACCAAGCAAATAATGAATTTTAGAAAAAAGTTTTAGAAAAAAGTTTAAGAAACAAAGATACAAACCTTCATTCGAGTTTGAGAGAGATTTCGTTTCGATGATGATCTATAAAAGTTTAGAGTGAGAGTAAATTTATCAAATGGCAAGTCTTGTAATTAATTTTTTTTTATTTCATAAAATTTTAAACAGATATTAAAAATTTAGAAGCATAATTACCTTTCTGAAGCAGATGATCTCCCTCTTTTAGTAATTTCTGGAGTTAGCAATGTACTTTTCATCTCGAGCATATATTTAGCTGACAACATGTCAATAATAGTGGAAGGACAACTAACTGAAAGCAACTGCTTTTTGAAAAAGGTTTAAAAAAAAGTATACACGTTTAAAAGTAAAAATCACTTACATTCCTATTCAATACAATCAGAAAAAGTTGACATGAAAAAGGAGATTAAATTAGCTAGACTTTAACTTAAAAGAAACAAATTTTTAAAAATTTGAAAACAGGAACATTTAAGAAGCTTCCTTGTTAGTTATATATCAGTACTGTAAAGGCCAAAATAATTATGGAACTAAAGATATCTCACACTCAGTTAACTCCTATAGCACATAATCTCAGACTTGTTTTTGATTTCATTTCAGAAAAAGTTAATTGATTTTACATAGTCAGAATCTCTAAATAAAAAGAAACACCGAGCTATGCAATTCTGAATGACTTCATTGTAATTATAATATAGTATTTTTTAAAGTTATTGCATAGTTTAGAAGCATATTTGATTTTTTAAATGATAGTTTCTTTTGAGTGTAATCTTAGGATAAAAAAAAACAATAGGTTAAATAAAAACAAACCATTCTGTTTAGCCAAATCTAATGCAGTACAGCCATTTGTTGCACATATATTAACATTTGCTCCAGCATCTAATAACAATTTCACAATTTCGAAATGCCTGAAAATGAAGATATTTCCATAACTACACTTCTTTCTGTCTTTTAAAGTATAGTAAATTATATTGCATAGTAAATGGTATAGCAAAGTATAATAAATACTAATAATAAACATTAAAAGAACAATTAGATAAAAAGGAAGATTTTCTGATAAATATGTACAAAACAATCAAAAGTAAAAAACACATTAAAACTCAAAAACATATTATATTAAAACAGTTAAAATAGCAAACAAATTGAAATGCTACACATGAGCATCATCATCAGTGCACTATATTATAAAGAAAAAAAGTGGCTTGAAATATTACAAATATAATAGTAATAAATAAATAAAACTGATTTAGACAGTAAGAAATTGTAAATTAAAAGTAAATTACACCAGTGATTACACTTTTCGACCAAAAAAAAACAACAACAAAAAAAAAACAGTGTAACAGAAGTAGGAAAGATGCCTTAGTATTTCAAAACCTTAACTAAGCAGAAAGCAGAGGTATCTACATCTGTCGGAGTAGTAAAAACATTAAAATGCTTCCATATGCTTGAAAAAATGGTTTGGCAGAAGGGTTGTTTACCAAAAAATATTGTTTTTGATTGAATGAGAGATCTCCCTTAAATCAAAGTCTATGGAAGAAAAACCTTTTTAAATAATGGTAAACACATAACTATTGTATCTCAAATGCACTGTTTCTGAAAATATGATGAACCTTCCAAAAATCTAAGTCAGTGAAAGAAACCTATTTCTGAATAATAGAAACACAGTTGATTAAAAAACTTTATAGGCTTCAAAGAATATGAAAATGGCAATAAGAATCCACAGCTTTCAAGTGTTAAAAATAGGCTTTAGATTTCCTCATTCAAGTCTGGAAAGTTTGTATTTCACTTTTTCTTTATTGTATTATGCACTTAAGATGATAACGAAAGTGTAGCATTGTAACTAATAAGATACTTTAACTATTCTAATATACTAATACATTTTTCAGTTTTATTATTGTTTCTATCTTTTACTATTGTCATCAGAAACTGTTTATTTTTTATAATCATGCATAGAAATTTACCCATTGAAAACAGCATGCGTCAAAGCAGTCCAACCTTTTTCAGTATCTTGGATATGTAGGGAAGCTCCATGAGATATTAAAATGTTAGCTACATCATATAAACCAAGCACTGAAGCTACCATCAAGGGAGTAATTCCAGATGGTGACTGAGAAGAATTTACTAAAGGTGGATCCCGTTCCAAGACAGATTTAATTTTTAAAACATCTCCTAAAAATTATAGCTCAAAATAAACAGTAATTTAAAATAAATAAACAAATATAAGATTCCAATTTTCGTCTTTAGAAAAATAAGTTCATAAGACAAAATGGTTATTCAAATCAGTATCCAGATATAAAAAATTTAGGAAGAAATAATAATAAATTTACATTTCATGTTAAAAACACATATAAAAAAAAACTAAGTTGATTATAATCAATATCTTATTCAGCTGAATTAAAAGAAAACAGTTATCAGCATCTTTATTACATAAAAAATAAATAAGTCAATTCTTACAATCTGAAATACATATTTTCTAAGTAGAATATGCATAATGAGTACTTAAATGAAATTATATTAAAACAACATACCATCTTTTATAACTTTAAACACATCAATTTTATTCGAAAAGCCTAAATAGGAAATAAGAAGATGATAATTAAACAAAATTCAATCATTATAACAAGACAGTAAGCATAAAAAATAATTAAGACGGTTCTTACTGCTAGGTTTAGAAGTTATTTGATTCTCTAAACTTATTCTAATTTCTAATTGATTAAAAATGTGGGCATAATCTAAGGCAGTTCTTCCACAGATATCCATAGCATTAAAATCTGCACCATTTTCAACCAGAAAGTGTGCAATTTTATTATGACCAGCACAAACAGCTAGCATCAAGGGAGTTAGACCTAAATATGCAGAATACATGATTAATGCACTTTATCATACAATTATGTAAACATTGTTTGAAAGTTAACAGTAAATTAAAAGGAAGGTTAAAAACTCAACTCAAAAAGCTATACACAAATAGCAGAAGGAATATTAAAGCTTACAATTTTATCACTAAGCATATTATTATAACAGCTTGTAAAAAACACTTATTTGAATTAAAGTTAGTTAAATTTTAAACAAACATATATCAAGAAAATAAGTCGATGTAGTCTTCTTTTTTTTTTTTCTATATGACTCTTAGGCACATTTACTTAATTATTTAATAGAGAAAGCAATTAAAAATGTGAGTTGCCAGAGCCTTCATCACTAAATCTAAAAATGATGCAAAATGTCAATATGAAAAAAAAAGCAGAAAAAGTTTTGTGAAAATGAAAAGTTTCTATCTTTTAAAAACTGTGATCGATTTTTCAAGTTTTTTAAAAAATAGCTTCAATTCTGCATCGCCTGAGCCATAATAACAAAATATGAAATTAACAGTAAAGAAATAGTAAAAGAAATGGAAAAGCAGAATGAACTATGATTGAGGTATACCTGTAACAGGAGAAGAATGATGAATGATTCCCCCATTTTGTACTAAATACTTTAAAACAGGACTATACCCAAAAAATGAAACTGCCATCACTGTTGATAAATCACTCTCATTTGTCTCATTCCCAGCAGACATGTGTTGGACCATAGCACCAGCTTCAATAAGCAATTTCACGGTAGCTAGATTTCCACTGTATGCAGCTGCAAGGACAGCACTGATGCCTAAAAACCAATGCAATATTTGATTAATAAATAATTTTCATCATTAAAAATTATTAATGCATGTAAAACTCAGGAAAATTATATTTAATGAAATTTAATAACTTCACTTCCTTATTTATGCATTTCAAGGCAAAAATTAGAAGGGAAAAGATAACTCTCACTTTAAAATAATAAACATTTTTTTAAACATAAAAATATCCATATTATTACCTATAAAATTCTATAAAAAAAAAGGGATGGTTAAAAATTTAATGCTTTTAAATAATGGGTAATATGATGAGCATAATCCAAAACACCACGTAAAAAAAAATTGGAGATGTAAATGACTTGAATTAAATAAATAGAATTACATGACATCCGTTCAGCCTTATGTGTAGAGTGCAAAAAAAAAAAAGACCATTCTGAATAACTTTTAATCTAATAATCAGATCTTCACGTTCTAGGACTTAATCTTAATGGCTCGAGCAAGTGATCTCAAATATGCTAATTAATAAATGTAGACAATATTTTAAGTTACAAAATCAGACAGAAAAATGTACTTTCTCTGAATAAATATACCTTTTTTCGGCAGAATCGAATTTCTGACCCCCAAGATAGGGCGGGGGTAACTACAATCTGCGAAATATGGTCACAATAGTTTGTTCAGGATAGCAGTCCAAAGTTTAGAACTCTTAATGTTAATTTTACTTTTTGCGTATTTTGTAAAATCTTGAGAACTTTTTTAGCAAATTAAAAAAAAATTGCATACAATTATAAAATTTGGTTATCCAGAGATAATTCCATGCAAAATTGGTTGAATAGTTCCTGAGAAATTGAATTTCAAACAGGTTTAATATTTAAAACTTGGAAACTATTTGACCAATTTTGACTTATAAAATTATATTCTTTAAAATGAAGCAAAATTTCTATACTTTAGAATTCAAAATTTTTTTACCATTATTAAATAAAATAAATATTTACTAAAATTTATTTTTTACATGGAGTTATCTTTAGATAAATTAATTTTATAATTGTGGGCATAATTTTTTTCAATTTGAGGCTTAAGATTGATTCATAGAATGTGAAGATATGATCATTAGATCAAAAGTTATTCAGGGTGGTCCTTTTTTTGAGCAGCATAGATAAATTTGTTCTAGTATGTTCCTATTTGTGATTCGTTTTTATATTTTACTTGAATTTTTGTGATTTTTACCTGATAAAACTTTATTTCCAAATCGGTTTTTTCCTCCTTTGGTGTTCTTCACACTATATTGATATATATTGCTAGAATATTAATACTGTATATGAAAGCATTATTATTTTTCCTAATTTTGGTTGATTTTTAATTTTTTTTTCTTTTTTATTTATTTCCTTGTTGCTTTCACATTTTTATCAGCTATATATATTATTATATTACATTTGCACTCTTTAGTATTGAATGAATTTTGATATCGAAAAGTATTTAATTTTAATTTTATGCAAATGTATTACTAAGATGACTGATAAAAAGCATTTAAAGTCTAGTTAATTTACCATAGTTGCTGTCTACAAGTTTATAAATTTAGGCTTGCAGCACTTCATTAGTCAACCTGCTAAGTATAAGTGGTCTTATTTTTAGACAAGGTCATATGTTTATATATGGTAATGCATATTTAACTAAAAAGATAACCATTCTAAGAATATAGATTTATAGCACTATGAGACAAAGATAAAATGGTGAGAGAGCCTAAAACAGACTTTAGTGTGCAATAAGAAGAAATAACTTATGTATAGATAAAAAGTGTCTTTAAATACTGCATAACTTCAATCTTACATTTCTAAGCATGTCTATACATTTTCATACATCTATACACATGTTGTTTATTGTTATTCTTATATAAACAGGTAGAAATGTTATTGAAGGAGACATTTTTGTTTGAGGCAAATTAACAATATATGATTAGTAAGAAGAATATGGAAAGGGAAAAGAGAAAACTTTTAGCAATTAAATATTAAAAATGTTTGATACAATTACATGTACTAAATATTTAGTGAACAGTTTATGAAATCTTATAAGTAAAAATTACACATTTGGTAAAAATAAATTCTTCATACTCGCCAAATTCATTAATGCCATTGAAACTGTGTTTTAATCAACATTCAAGCCAATTTAATTAGTTACAAAGTTAATCGTCATAAAAAATTACTACTGATATTTACAGCAACCAAATTAAAAACAATGAATTAAGATAGAATTTAAAATCAACTGGATTGTCAGATAAAAATAAAATAAAAGTTCAATAGTAGAATAGGATTGAATCCTAGAGCTCAAACTTTAAACTGAGATAATTTAAAAAAGGAAAAGTATACAAGTACTTAAACAACTAATTTAATACTATAAGCATAGTCTATATTTACCTAATTTGTTAGTAATGTTAACCTTAGCTTTTGATTTAATCAAATGAGCTACAACTGATGTATGACCGTATTTAGCAGCATGCATTAAAGGTGTCCACCCATAGTTGTTAGGAAGATCAACAGATGCTCCAGACTTAAGAAGTAAAGTCACCAAATCCAAGTATCCATTTGCTGCAGCCACTTGCAATGGTGATTCTCCCTCATTGTTTTGGAAATTCGAGTTTACACCTATAAAAGAATTATATGATTAATAATGAAAAAATTGAAGAAATTATAGGAGAGAGGAAGTTAAGAGGCTATTGTCAATGCTCATATACCTTCATCTAAACATTTCTTGACTGCAATCAAGTTTCCTTTTTCACAAAATTTCAAGAAATTAACTTCCATTTAGATTGTAAAACAATGCTTCTCTAAATACGGTTGCATCAAACAAAGACTTGAGCTGTAAATTTACTTTATTGAAACGGGGTTTAATTTATTAAATGGTTTTTTGAATTATTTACTAACATACGACATTTGACAGACACAATGTTTATTTTGAAATGCTTGCAGTGTGACAAAAAATGAATATTCAGATTATTCCAGTTATACCGATTGAACTGTTGATATGAATTGAATTTTATCAATCACACTGAAATAAATGATAGTGCTAAAGTTTACGAACGAAAACGCTTTATCTGAATCATTTCAGATAGTTTAAGAATTTTGAGGATCAAATAAGAGTTTTGCAGTGTAGCTCGTCGCTTTGCTTAACTCAATTATAAATAAAAACAGAAATCATTTGTTTTGGGTGTTGATGAGGACAAATTCAATTTTTTAGTTTGTCTTATAAAAGCTTCTGTTTTATTCTCTATGTATTCATACTTTTATTGAAAATTCAGTTTTCATATTCAAAAGGAAATTTTCAAAAAAAATTTAATTATTACTTTGTTTTAGAAATTATTTATTCTATATGGCTGTTGCAGTTGCTGTGATCAGTAAAGAGGTAACTTTTTATGCTGAGTACACTTAATTTATGAAAAAATAAAAAAAGAACAGTCCTTGCAAATTTTTAAAAAAAAATCAAGTGGGGAGATTTTCATATAGTTGTATGTACCGCCAACTGCGATCGACAATGCAATCTCAATTTTTTTTTTAAAGAAAAAAAAAAACATGTAGAGGCTGCTACGAACTATACCCTTCGAGTTGGTCCCCTTCTGTGATATTTTTTTGGCATGGATCACGAGAGACTGAAATCTTCCCAGGCTTAACCATTTTTTACTGCCAAAGTGTAAATATAACATCTTAAAGTTCAATTGATTCCTATTCAAAGTCTAATATTATCTCACTAAAAATTTGAGATATGTTAAAAAGTAAGAATATAAAAGTAATAGCACTGTATTTATGTAATTTCATTTCACTGATATACATGTTACTCTAGAACACATAACTTCACTTGTTTCTTAAGAAAACATAATCCTTGATTTACTTTTATTCATTTCATTTCTTTATTCCATTTCAATTTTGATAATAGATAGGTTAACTCCTTTTTGTTATTTAATTGAAACAATGTCAATTGGAATGTTTGGTTGTACTGTTCGTTTCTATATATGTATTAAAATTTCCTTTCTTTATTTTTCAATTCCCCAAGAGTATAACTTTAAAAACAGATGTTGAATATTTTTGCTCTTTAATATTAAAATGCTCCCATTTTAATGCAATTGGTCATCAGCAAAGAAAGAAAAGATTCATCAAAAGCAGCATCAAAAATTTACTTTGTGCTCCCAAGAAATTAAAAAATATTACAAAAAAGGACACAACTCATAGGACATAACTTAAAGTCACCCTTAGGCAAACCACTGCATAGCTTTTTCTTAAAACTTTGAGCGCACAGAAATTTTTTGGTGATGGTAGTTGGCACAAGCAGGTACCGGTATGAAAGTACAGTTAAACCTCTTGTTACGGACACTCTCCTTATTAGGAATGCCTATCATTAGAAAAGCCTCTCAGTAGCAATGCCTCTCATTACGAATATTTTAAACTATGCCTGAAATTTCTATGAAAAAACCCAATATGTACCTTCACTTTAAAGTGGACACTCTTGTAACTGTATACAGACAGTCATTTATGTTCTTAAAACATTATTTTCTATCTCTTTAAACCAAACACCAATTTATCTAATTTTGTAAAAAAGGATCTTTTACCTATTTTCTAAGACATGTAAATTTTTTGCTGCACACTACTATAGAATCAATCATTCTCCTGTCACCTTTTATCTTAGTAAAGAAAGGAGAGAAAATATACTGCTCATATGAAATATAAAAATGATACTGCATATATGAACATCATCTCTTGATAATTTCATCTGAATGACGCAGCTTGTGAGATCCCAGATGTTGAAATGATGCACTAAATGCTTATGATTCGCCTTTGCTACTGAAAATTTATTTCTTCTTCTGATTAATTTGACCCCTATTCTTAATCCTTGTCCTGATAGTTATAAGAAGATATTGCTTCATAGTGTTGGAATAAACATGAAGTCTCGTTATGCATTCATTGAGTTTTAAAAGATTTAATCCTAATGTTAAATTTATTTGGTAGTTTTCAAATTAAAAGGTATGGTTTTCACATTCTTTTGAATCTTTATTAGAATTCTCGGTTTTTTATCACATTATTAAAATGAAAGTGTCCTCTCATGGCCAATTATTTTTCACATTTAATTTATTATTATAAATGGTATTCGAATTTATATTTACTTAAAAAAAAACATGTTGCTGTATCCTCAATTCTGCAGTTTCACAATTCTTTCTGCCATGTAGCTAGTTTTGTATAGTAGTCTGGTGTTTGTTAGTTATGAAAATGTACTTTGAATATTATATTTGGTGCTTACAATAAAGCATGTCATAATATAATGTCCAATTTTGATAATATGATAAGGGTTGCTTTATTCAGTGATTACTACATTGCAGGTTTAAACGAATCTTGAATGTTGGGTCATTATCATGCCCAAAAAAATTCTCACGTTAGTTTTTGTTTTTAATGACCTTCATATACTCCATTAGTTACTGACTTAAAATTTAAAAAATGCTTCGATTCTTGTCTACTTTTAGTGCATAGAAATAACTGTAGTTTTAATTTTTCTTTTTTTAAATTTTAAAGTTAAATATTGTTTTATATGGATCAAAACATCTTTTTTAAAAAGATAAATGTTTTTGATTAATAGGTACACTTATTATTTTTTTCATAATTCAAATTTGTAAAAAAAAAATTCATGTTGAAAAGTTAGCAACTTTATTACAAAATTCACTGATTTGTTTTTTCATCTTAGAGCTTTACTTTTCTTTTAGTATTTTATTAATATGGGTTTATTAAAACAAATCAGTTGCAACCTTCAGATGAAAAAACAATGTAATATCTTTATTCTGAGATATAATTCATTTATTCCTAGAAAAGCAGTGAGAGAAAGGTAGCATTACTGAACTGAGATCTGGCTGATTTATCTCAAAATTTCTTACTAATAATTATATGTGTTTTGATGAAAAATAAAAAATAACATTAATTTTTTCAATTTCAGAACTACCCTCTTTATGTAAAGACAGCTTCGCCGGGAAATGATTTGAAGTTTCTCTACACAATACATACTTCCCTTGATGTGATTGAAGAAAAAGTGCTATCTGGCAATAAGGCTCTTTCTGATTTGAGAGAGTTATATTTAGGATTACTTTATCCGACAGAAGACTATAAAGTGTAAAGTTAAATTTTTATTTTATTCTAAAAATTCATTTAGCATAAAATAAACTAATTACTTTAATCAAATTCAACCATACCAATGCATTTTTTTTTTACCATAATTACCATCAATAACCCTAAATTTTTTTTTTTACATTATGAAATATCTAAGACTTTATTTAAACTAAATCACATTTCCTTGAGTGCCGGCCGAGTGGGTAGCTTGCCTGACTACGAAGCCAATAGCTGTGGGTTCGAATCCCACCCTGGGCATAGATGTTTGTTTCTCTATGTGTTGTTCTCTGTTGTGTGTGATGTGTGAATGTGACCCGCCCTATGAACGGGTATTTGTGACAGTGGTGCATGGGTAGTGTTGTTCACCTCCATGACTTAGGTTCACAGGTGCCCATTGGATATCATTAAATGAGCAACATTTCTGACATCTTCCCTGGTGAGGAACGAAAAGTTCAGTACCTGCCATTAGAGAAAAAAAAAAAATTCTTTTAGTTTTCAATTTAGATGAAAGCTGTGTAATTTTCAGCCCGAGGATCAGATTCGACCCACAAATTGTCAATGAGAAGCCAAGAAATATTTTTGAAGAAATTGCATAGTTTTAGACTGTATTTTAGACTAATTAGAATGTATTAAAATAATAATAATAAGCTAAAATACACTAGTAGCTAAAATCAAATATTTTTTCCTTGGACTAAGGTCTACTTTTAAAAATTGTATTCCTAAATAAATTAGTAAATGTGAGTAAGTATTCCTTCATTATATTCCATCCTTATTAGCATTTCTTCATTATAGCTTAATATAAGTTTTAATGAATTTTATTCTAAAATGTTGGAGTTTTATAATGCTATTTTTCATTTATTGGCATTTCACTTTTGAATGCATTGCAATTTTTCAAAAAAGCATAGAAAAAAATTCTTTAAAAAAGGGGAAAAAATAAAATATTTCAAATATTAATTAATATTAAAAATTGCAAATGCAACTGGTATGAAAACAAAAATCGAGGTACAAGTTATTATTTTTCGTTAGTAAAATGAACTGTGGATAACTTGTTACCATAAAACTTATATTGTGTGATATATAAATAAATAAACAATACATAATGCTTTCATTATAACAGAGCTTTTATTATTTTTTTAATAGATATGGATATGTAACGAACACGAAGATTAAATTTGTTGTGGTTGTGGAGTCATCTCACACTACATTAAGAGACAATGAAATCCGTCAGGTAAAGCGATCAAAGTATTTTGTTCTAGTTTTGTTAAAAAATATAAAATGTTTCACTATGAATCCAGTTTACATAGAATGCAAGCTAGAAAATGATTTGTATTAAATTGATTCATGAATATTCTATAGTAAAAGAAAAGCTAAATTAATAATAATTATTGTTCATTATTATTAAACTAAATTATAATTTTTTGTCAATATTTTTTATTTATTACAAATTTAATTTTTTTTCTTTGACCCTACAACTAGTTGTTATGAAATAATCTTACAAATTCGGATTCAATACCTTTACTTCAATTGTTTGCAAAGTTAGATGAAAGTAGTAGTTAATAACTACTACTTGATGATGAAATAAAACATACAATGATGAAATAAAACATAACTACTAGTTATGTTTTATTTCATCGTTGTTTTCAACTCTCTTTAATTTTGTAGATCCCTTATATCTGTTCCATCTCCTGAAAACCTTCATATTTCTTTTTTTCCTGTATGAAATCTATAGATTTTTCAAAAAACGAATTAAAGTGGGAAAGAAAAACTATAAAATAAAGCAATTTTAGTAAAGTTTGTGCATATGTTATTAATTTTAAAAAGTGAATTCCGTAATGATATAATCCCCTTATTTATAAGCAGTTTTCTCTTTAAAAAGAATTTAAGATTTTTTAAAAGGATTTTACACCATTACATTTAGAAATTATATTAAAAAACAAAAACTTTTCTTATAAAATTAAACAATTTCTTAAAAATATTTTGATAATTTGCATAAATTTTATTTCAAAATATAAACTGAAAAGATTTTTGTTTCATTTTTAATCCTTTGTTTAGTTCATTTTTTCCCTATAATATACTAATTTGAAATGTTAATGACTATATTCTTTAGTTTAACGACCTAACTCAATCATTTTAAATTGAAGCATTGTGCTTCTGTAAAGGTGTTAAAGAACTTTATGCTTGTTTTGCAGTGACTTTTTTTCCTAAGGCTGTTATTCAAAAGACTCTTTGCTTATATGAAATTACGCCCTTTAACAAATAATAAGCTAATTTTCCAGCTGTTAGATGGTAATTGTTATTTATAGCTTGTCAATTATGCTTTATCCATATATAGTCAAAACCTTCATTATTGATTATGAAAGTGGCACAAAATGTAGGATCTGTAGTTGTCTCAATATTATCGATGAAAAGTATTTTGTCCTCATTTTTAACTTTCTATCCTAATTTTTCTAAGTGATCAGAACATCCAATTTTCAAATTTTAAAAAATCGATTTGAAGAATCAAAATATTTACATTTTTGATCTAACATCTTCTTTATTTTAATTATTTAACTTTATTTAAATTACAACAGTTTGTTTGTTCAAACTGTGTTCACTTTCAATAAATTATGCAAATTTTCTTAACATCATTCATTCAAGCATTTCCTAACATTGATTCTCCTGTATGAAAAGAAAAACCAAAAAATGTTTGTAAATTATAATATCTTTTTTTTTATTCTTGCATGCAAGTATTTGTGACGATTTTCACAAAATAAAAGGAATTCATGACTGCAAGTTCCATTACAAATTTTGTCCATCTTTAATGTGTCTTATTATATCTTAAAATTTCTACCTTAATATTCGAAATCATTCTGAATAAAAAATTTAATTTCAATTATTATCACTAATATTTTTTATTTAAATTGTCGGTTAAAAAATGTATATGGTTTCACATAAAAGTAACTAAGTATATCTCTAAATATTCTTTTTAAGATTTTATTAACAAAATTTTGAATTAAAATCAAAATATATTTTATAGATGTTTCGTAGAATTCATTCCGCATATGCTGATATGGTATGCAACCCATTTTATTTACCAGGAGAAACTATTTCTTCCAAGTAAGCATAATAATCTGTTTTTGAATTTAAGAATTATTAATATCAAATAATTATTAGAATGTAAAATGTAGCAACATTTTAAAGCAAATCGTCTTTTTGTTGCTAAAATATTAATTATTACCATTAATTATTAATAAATAATATTAAGAATGAGTAAATGATGAATTGTTTTTAATTATTAAATATATAGTATAGCCCTTATATATAGTATAACCTGGTGTATAAGTCGACCCCCTACTTTTGATTTGTCTGATGCATTAGCCAACCGCTGGAAAAAAAACAAGTATGAGCAATTCTATTTTGTGTAAAATTTTTTAAAAAGTCTGGAATTTCAAATTCTTTGGATGAGGGTAAAGACAGTTTTTTGTGGGACTTAACATGTTGGGATAAAGTAGAATCCAATGCAGCCTGTTTGCAGTTAAATCCAATGCAGCTTGTAGCTTTATGGTATGTTTTAAAAGTTTTCATTGCATTGTTTTTTTAAATATCTTAAATAAACTACGTTAATTTTTCTTATTCTTAACTTTTATTAAGTATTATTTCTATAAAAAACCTTACACATGTAAAGAAAATATCAGAGAAAATGCAAAATTAAGTGTACATAAGTAGTATTGAAAATTTGAAAGGGATCAACTGATACACAGTTTACATCAAAATGCATCAATATCTCATGATCAACAAAAATATCGGACTTTATTACCAGTGTATAAGTCTACCCTCTGACTTTCAGAACATTTTGGGAGTTTGTTAAGTCAACCTATACACAAATATATATGTTAGTAATTAAATAAAAAAATATGTGAGTTTGTTAAGTCAACCTATACACAAATATATATGTTAGTAATTAAATAAAAAAATATGTCTCCAGTTTTTTTTCTTTTTTTGTTTTCTTAGTGTGACTATCTTATATTATAATTTACATTTTAATTTTAGGTCTTTTGAAGCTGTAATAAAAAGTATAATGTCTCCAGAATAAATGTTAGCTGTTACAATAATGTAAGAAAAAAATGTGTAATTTAATGTTTTGTACATTCTTTGTTAATAAAATATTTGTAGCTTAAGAGATGGTACTTTAAAAAGAGAAGGCTTTACTAAGGAAATCTACATCAACTAAATCAGAATTACATGCTGTTTTGTACAAATGGTTCACCTCCCCCCCCCCAAAAAAAAAAGTGAGTAAATAGTATCACAGGGCTGCGACGATAGTATCACAGGACTCCAAAAAGAAAAGGGGGGAAAATCACTTTAGTTGCTGCAGGCACGAAACATAGTTTCCCACCTCTAACATATTCTTACAATATTTATACTTTAAAAAATATAAAGTAATCCAAGTAATGTATTTTCTTTTAGACATTATATATACAATAATAATAATTAAATTTTAAATTCATAAAATATAAAAGTCTTAAACTCAATCTGTTGAAGATGCTTAGATATCATGTTATGTAGATGTTTTCAGAAATTCTCAAGGAAATATACACAAAGGAAAAATTTCCACAATATATGCTTTGCTATATTAAGAACCCTCCAATTATTTAATTGGAAATTAGTGTTTTAACTAAACTCAATGTTTAAAAAATGCACGGACACTATACTAATATTTTATAAACTCAGTTTAATGCAAAAATGAAAAATAAATAATAAAATATTGAATCAGAATTTTGTCAAGCATTATCATTTAAAAAAAATCTAAATTTTCAGAGTTTACTGATGGAAATAGATTTTTTTAAAAATTACCCCTTTAATACAAGCTGGTCCGAATCCTAAATAAAATAGATAAGGGAATTCCACAGCTGAATTTTAATAATTTTACAATATTGGACTCAAGGGTAGGAATAAATGTATTAATTGGTATTTTAAATTATTTAATATTTCTATAATTTTTAGCTATATTTTTTTAATAATGCAGATACAAAACATATCATTATACACCTGAATTAGAATTTGTACACATCTAATAATGTAATCAATCATAATATAAGTTTCAAAATTTTTTATTAGGAAACACTTTTGAAAACACAAATACATAGTTTATACAGAAGATATGTATCAAATAGTATCACAACATAGTAAAATAATCATGATTAAACAAATAAATTTTTGTCAAAATATTTAGTCACACATGCAAGCTCTAAGACAAATTTATATTGTCCTCTAATTCATTTAAAAAAAAAAGCTAAGAAATGTTTCGAATAATTATATTACGCTACAGTTTTTAAATTAATATTTCTCTTTAAGAACAACCAATCACAAAATAATACATTAAAATCAACAATAATTTACTTTACCAAGGGATACATAGGAAAGCTTTGTTTCGAGATCATGCCAACCAATAGGCCCAATTTCACAATCAGCGCAAATAAGATATTTAACACCTTCAACAGTCTTACTAAAACCAACATTTTCAAAGGCATACATATTATCAACACACCAATATTTGTATTTGTTTGTAGAGGCATCAACTTCCTTTGTTTCATCTTCCTTAGTTGGTGCTTCAGGTAATTTGAACTGTAATTACAAAGATAACTGTTAAATTTCTAAATACGAAAAAATCTCTTCACAAAATCAAGCAAAATTGAACAAAAATGAGAGAAAAATTAGAATGTAATAAATTGCTTAAATTGAGAGAAATATTAATTAAATTAAATTAATTAATATAGTAACAAAGTATTAATTGAAAAACTATTTTTTGACAATTTTTTTTTGGGGGGGGGGAGGGGGATTTAATAAAGAATAATCCAAAATATTATTTTTTACAATCCATTTATTAGAAATACTTATATTTGTTAATTCAAGTTCTGGAAAATACTTGAAAAGTGAAATCTGAAGAATTGAAATTAGATTACTTTGTACTGAACTATAACTTTTGTAATGCTGTTTTTCTTCTTTTTTTTAATTAGGCAATTTTACATTCAGGCAAGTCAATTTCATCGTTTTTCCAACATTTTATGTTTTGAAAATTAAGAATTTTTTTTCTCTTCACTTTTGCTTGTTTTTCTGTTTTAACTAAAGCGAAGCATGTTAACGGAGCATTTCAAATAGACTCAATTCTTTTAAAAAAAATTTACCTTTACACCAGAACAATAACACAGCTAAGTTTTCATTATTGATCAATAATGACTAAACTTAATTCAATATTTAATAGTTAATTTACTAATCTGTTTCAAAATTAATTATTAATAATTAATTCTTAAATTAAGTTTGTCATATCTTCTTTAAAAGGTATAAAACTTACTTATCGAAAAAAACTAATTGAGAATTTTTACTCCTTTAGAAGAAATAAACAAATTAATGTATGAAAAACTTTGCTTCATTAAAAATTTCTGGTTTCAATAATTAGTTGACTACTAATCTGTTTTAAAATTACTTATAATTGCTAACTGTTAATTAAAATGAAAGAGTATAATTTACTTTTAATAGGATTAACACAAGAGTAGATGCACTCTTAATTGAAAAATTATTGTTACAGAAAAATAGATATGTTATTTAAGATATTAGATAATTACTATTATTTTCCAAAATTTCACACAAATATAAACATTAACTCTGCATTGTGACTCATTTATACATTGAAATTTTACCTCGTGCTCAACTAAAGTTGCTGTCCCAGGAATTAAAATTGTAGATGGGCATCGCTGACATTTAATTTGCTTTCCATTTTTGCCATTTTCAATAATTTCATTTTCTAAATTAGATTTTTCATCAGAATTTTTGCTTCCCTCCTTTGATGACACCAATTCAGCTGAGTTTTGTGTCCTGTCAGCCATTACTGCAACAAAATCAATATTTTAGACATTTGATTTTAAGCTGCCCTTTATATTAATCTACAATTCAATTTTTACAAAAATAGACAGTAGTACATCACCTAATCATAACCAAGTATTTAGTTCTGTTTTCCAAGGCTTATCTTTTAACAGCCTTAGAAGGAATTTAAATACTACATAATGCACTGCTGTTAGACGATATGAACAGTGTCTAAGCTTGTACCTTTCTCTTCAAACTTAGAGAACATACAAGTTAATGGTTTTCAGTCGCGGCAAATTTAACACATACCTACCTTGTCGCATGCACACGTGTTTTGTTTTTTTTTAAATTATCTTGTTATATGTTTCGTTTCTTTCATTCATGCTTTTGTTAGCCAGATATTTTTTAATATTTTTAGACTTTATAATGTAGATAAAATTATTAAAATAAAGAAATGGCAATGAGTTTTGTTAAACATTTTTAGTGACAGTAATAAAAGTATAATTTTTAGTGTGCATAATCTATAAGTAAATCACTTGATGCATAAAAATAAAGAATTTATAATTTTGTCAAAAGTGAGACAATTCTTAATTATTTAATTACAGTCTACACATGATAACTCGAATTTAATAGGTAAGAAGGGAAATTATGACTATCAGTAGTTTGAATTAACAACAGTTTCATTCTTCAAAGAAAAATTATCAGAAAAAACACAAATTTCCCTCTTTAAACTGCCAGTTGATTTGTATCATTTTAAGATTTTTCTTTATTACCTGCTAACAATAAAAGGCTGTTTAATGAATGCTATTCATTAAATGCTTTATCAAAATTTCCCCAATGTTGAATTTCTTTGCACATTGCTAAAAGGAGCAAAAGAAGATTTTTAAGTTGTACTTAGGCACCCTTAGGCAGAATCTAAGTGACACGGTGACATTGTCCAGAACGTTACAGAATTTTTGCAGAAAGATTTTTCTCCTAAAAAATGAAAAAAAAACTTTTCTTTTCTACAGAAATTTACATGCAATATTTGATCTGTGCATTTAGATAATCACTTTTAAACACGCTTAATTTACACTGATAATATCATAAATTGATGTTGTTTCAATTGTATTTTCAGCAGTTATTGATATTGATTTTCACATGGATTTTAAATATCCTGATATATTTCAAACAATATGTAAAATTCTAATCCTGCATTTGAGTTTTTACTTTTTAAGGCAATAATTCTATCAAATTTTTGGCAGTTATTGCTATTGATACCTGCATAGTTTTTAAATTCAATATTTTTAATACAATATTATTTATTACAATAATATAATTTCGAGATGAAACACGCAGTTGAGGTGTCTGATTTGCGCAATTTCACTGTCGATCTTCTTATCGGCAATTACTACGGATTTTATGATATTTAATTATTTTTTTATTGTGATGATTATTTACAAAATGTGATGAAGGAAATAATTTGTGCCCCCCCCCCAACGAAATGCAAGAATATCACCCATAACATTAGAATAAAAATACATTATATGTTCAACTAAATAATATATATATAGTTTTTTTGTAAACTATATATATATATATTATTTAGTTATTATTTTAAATCCCTTTGTCCCTTTTTAAAATCTCTTTATCCCCATGCAAACTACATCTGTACGCAAAATTTTTTTTATTTTTTTTTGAAAAAAAGTTGATGAAAGTTATATATTTATCATTTTACAACTACTATNTTTAATTATTTTTTTATTGTGATGATTATTTACAAAATGTGAAGAAGGAAATAATTTGTGCCCCCCCCCCCAACAAAATGCAACAATTTCACCCATAACATTAGAATAAAAATACATTATATGTTCAACTAAATAATATATATATAGTTTTTTTGTAAACTATATATATATATATTATTTAGTTATTATTTTAAATCCCTTTGTCCTTTTTTAAAATCTCTTTATCCCTTTGTTATTTTAAATTAGTAACATATATTTTTGTAACTATTATATTAAAAGTATCCGGCAGAAAAATATTAGTGCAAGAGTCGCAGATAGCTCGAAAATATTCTGACACAGGGCTTAGACATTTTTAATGATAATTCATGGATCATTTGAGGAGAAATCAAAGACTCTTCATAAAATACTTTATGTTAACTGATCTTTGGCTAAATATTTTATCATGCAAACTACATCTGTACGCAAAATTTTTCTTTTGAAAAGAAGTTTATGAAAGTTATATATTTATCATTTTACAACTACTATTCCTTGAAAGACAAAATCATATGGAAAAATAAAACTGGAATAACTGGTAAACGTACAGCATCATACATTTCAAAATTTTAATATAATGCATTTTAGTACTTATAATAAAAATGCATTCTAGAAATTAAATACAAACCAATTATTAGATAGCTTTAGGTGCATTTCATGTTTAACTTTGAAAACTTATCTATCTATAAAAATCCTAATACCTTGTTAAGTGCTATGAACCAAAAGTCTAAATAATTATAAATGACAAAATGCTTTAAATTTAATTTACAAAAAACTTTAAAGTATATTAGAGTTTAAAAAATTAATAAACTAAGTTATAACGCTAAGCATTATTTAATAGTTATTGGAAATTTTAAATAATTTGTTTCTTCTTTTTAATGGAAGTGTTGCATTGCTGTGCTTGAGTAATTCCAGTTTTATTATATTTGTTAGTCTAGTTAATATTTGAATATAGAAAGAGTAAAATAGAATTGTGATGAGCGTTAAAATACTCACTAAAACAAGAGAATCTAACTCATTAAATGTTTTAATGCAAATTCAGTGCAGAAGAATTTTAAAAATCTTCTTATAGTACACAATACAGCTTAAAACAAGACTTGTGTATTCTACTACCTACATAACTAACGAAATACAATTCGCAAATTTAAGTAATTTCGGGTTATGTTAAGAAAATTTTATGATAAATATGACATCTTTACACAGAGTATTCATAAACTGAGTATGCTTAATTTTACTAAATAAGGATGTATATATATCTTGAAAGTGCAATATGGTTTGGTTTTAAATTAGAACGAAAGAATTATAAATTATGTCATATTTTACATTTTCGAAAAATTTATTAAATAACACACATTGTTTAATATAAATAATTTCTAATTAACTTACTTAATTACAGCTAATTTCTGATGAAGTTAAATAATTGAAGTATATTTATAGACTCAAAAAAGTTCACTGATCGTCTTCATAATCAGAATTCACTGATGCGTTAGCTACTTTACGATTCACTGATATCGTTGTTCGAAGAAATCATTTCTTGCTTCACGGATAATACTACTGTTAAAAATAAAAGACAACAGAAACTAACCCACAAAATCAAAACAAAGCTAAGGCTAGTGAATCGTCACAGACACAGTTATAACTTATTGTATCGATATAGTTATGGAATTCTTAAATTGAAGTCCTTGAACTTAGCAGAAATAAGCAGACCGACTCTTGTTCAAAAATTTAATTTAACTTTCTGTTGTGTGAACACGTTTTGAAGAATTTACTAAAGATTTATTAAGAAATATATAGTATTTTTATTTCTTGAAATCATGCTGCTAATGTATTACTTGAATGAAAGTGGAGAAAGAGTTTATACTCTTAATGTAAGTGTCCTTTTTGAATATGTTTGGAGTTCGCATGTGCTCTCTTCTGTTTATTTTAAAATCTTCAGTTTTACGTTTTGCTAATTATTTATTGTATGTCACTCTTGTATGATTTTTTTGAGTAGATTTCCGTATCTGTGGTAGAATAATTGCCAACTTCCGAGCAGCGGCCCGCAAAAAACTAAAAAAAAAAAATCTTCCCAGAAGATTATAATTCGTAGTTTAGAAAATATTTCTGCTCTCTGCGCCAGCTACAATCTCCGAAATTCCAAATAAGTTTTAATTTTGCAATTTTGTTTTAAAAAAAACCTGTAGAAGTTTGATCACTTGTCACTTCGAGTTGGTCACCTTCTATAAATTTTTCTTTTAAATTCGTTAGGCGGCTTGACGATTGTCGTTTTGGGAACATTTGCATATCTTGATCTTTCGCGTCAATTGCAATCTCCAAGTAGATTTTAAACTTGGAATTTGTAGATGTTTGCCCTGGGGTGGCACCGGGTTATACCTTTTGAGATGATCCCTTCCTGTGATGTTTTTTTTTCTTTTCTAATAGGCCGCTTCGCGGAAATGCCCAAGTCTTGGCGATTATTCTGCCACAGATCACAATACAGGAATGTTCCCATATTAGCATATCAGACACTCCAAGAATAGCTAATACCCCTCCTTCAAATTCAGCCAAGCGCATGTTTTTTTTTTTTTTATTATTATTAAGATTCTCGCGGAAAAAAATGAGGCCAGACAGGTTTGTCATAGAAAAAATTCTGACTTAGGGTAAAGCTATATTACTAAGGAATCGAAAAAGTCAACTCAGATTGTTCATGTGAGATTTATTGTTAAAAGCTTAAATTAATTATATTTATATACATTTTAATAAGACAGGATTTGGGGCTATTTTGTAGTCCAACCATCCACAAATTCCAGCTGCTAGAGATTAGCTCTTTAACAAAATTCAAATTAATAATAATGGCAACTTCACTGAGTTTCTCTTCATAAACATGCAGTTTTTGGGAACTAAGAACAGGTTTTAGTGTGAACTTGCACTTCACCAGATTTAATGAAATCAAATATCGTTGTTCATATTGAGATTTAATATTGCTGAATTTAATTTCATGTAGATTTAAAATTCCAATATCAAGAGGCAATTTCAAAATCACGCATCACGTTTTGTATCTGTGTATGTCTTTGCATCTTGATTTCTGTTCAGACCATTTAATAATCCGTCTTCTATCAACTATTTTAAGTTACCGCATTTTAAGTTTACCAAATTCAGTATCTGAAAATGTAAGTACTTGTGTTAGTACATTTGTTTGCTATTTATAAATGAAAATCTGGTTAAACAAAATAATAGGTCAATAGAATGTATAACTTGCAAATGTGCTGTTTTCTAGTCTGTTCAATTTTGTTATTAGATCATGCTGTTTGTTTTTCAATGTTTTACAATCTTTGTTTTTTCATGCAATTTATCTCCTTTTTTTTTTATATTTGGCTAATTTACTGAATTGGAATCCTTAGCACGGGCCCTGCATTATGTAAATAAAAAAGTAATATGTGTATTTTGTAATATCTTGTTTTAACATTTCTTTTTTCTTCACTTTCTAGAAAGTGGACCCTAATGGAAAACCTACCCTATCTGCTCATCCAGGTATAGGATTCTTTATTTATGTTTATCTTTACATTTGTATTTATCATTTTATATATTATGTTTATCATTATCATCTTTTCTGTTTATCAATAGTTATCTGAAGTACATAATGACTAACATATGACAGTGAAAAGATTGGCCTTGTTAACCTTTTGCTTAAGGTACCATGCATGTTGATAAGATCTGTTTTTCTTGCTCAGCAGTACTAGACGTAAAAAAATTGTTAAAATGCTAGAGTTAAAAAAAATTTTAATAACTTAGGTAGTATTCATACGTTCATTTAATAAATTGTTCTTTTCAGTAAATGTGATTTTGATGCCTTAATAAAAATAAACATGAATACTTTACTTCTGGAAGGGTCAAAAATGTTTCTCAAATTCTTAAATACAAGGAAAATATAAGCAATCTACACTTTCTTAATCACTTTCCGATGGTGGGCCACAAGATCTAAAAGAAATCATGCTGAAGACCAGCATTAAAATAACAATGTAATTTTTAAAGAATCATAAATGACTTTTTCCTTTGTGTGCAGACAATAACAGTATTTAATAGAAAAACTTCAACCCAAATTAGTGTGCGAAATTTATAGGTATACAAAAGAATTTACGATTTTTATTTAACAATAATGCTTACTTTAAGAGTCAAAACAAAACATTGGTCACTGAAGCGATGTCAGATTAATGTGATAATAGTCATAGAACTGAGTTATCAGTTCTTTTTTTTATAGTTATAGCAAAATTTTCTTTTATAGTTTATTTGTACAAGCTTAAAACTAATTACTAGATCAACCTACTTTCTTTTGGCTTGAATCTCTGGCTTTTGTTCTCAAGACACTAAAGTATTTTTTCATAATTATCAGCAGAACCATGTGCACTTTAGCACACAGCATGAAACCTTTTTCTCCAAATTAACAATTTTGCAGATCAAGATTTTCTTTATTTGTAATTCCTTTTTAAAGCCTAGTTGTGAAGTGTCTGATGAAGCAAAAAGTATAAATGACTTGGACGCTACTTTTAACCATGTATTAAGTTGATTTTAAAAATTCTTTGGCAGGAAATTTGAGTTCAGAAAGAAAGAAAAATTGCAAAATGCTAAAATAATGTGCTAGTCATTAGCTTCACTACTTAGTCACGAGGTTTCTTGAAACTATCAAAATTCAATATTTTTACCCTTAATTTTATCATTTTTAGTGAAATGCTTATGATCGATTTCTCTTTCCAGAGTGATATTTCAATTGTTTATTTTTCTGTTGTTTATTTTTCAAAATGTTTTGTAAAGTGTTTGTGTTTCTTAAAATTAATGCAAGTTTTTTTTTTTCTTAATATTTTGGAGAAAATGATGCTTTTTGAGACAAATCTAGTATATTTTACTAAAACAGATCGTCAATATAATTTTGTTTTAAAAAGTATCTTGTATTGGTTCAGGTTTTCACTTTCATCTTTAACTGATGAGAGAATTTAATTACTGTCAAATTATAAAGTGAGACATTGATCAATTAAAAAATAAGAATGAATAATTAACAAAGAAATAAAGGCCAGTAATTTTCAATGTGCAGATTTTTTTTAACTTGTTTATTTTATTTTTCAGCTCGATTTTCCCCTGCAGATCCATACAGCAAATACAGAGTTTTGATCAAGAGGAGATTTGGGCTATTACCAACACAAAAGCTAAAGCAAGCCTGTTAATCTTTAAAATCTATTCACATTTGTAAATACAAGATGATTTGTTTTTTAAGTTGTACTTTTTTTATATTAAAGAATAAAAATAACATCTTCTGTTTTATTTATTTTCTAGTTTCAAACAATGTGAGCCTCTATTTTTGCACTTTATTCTCAAGTTTTTTTTTTAATCACTTCAGAAAACGATAGCATATGTGAAAGGGATAATAACCAGGTGCTGCACTTACCTTGAATTTGTCCTCCCACTCCCTATGCAATATTTTTACTTGGGACTGTCCACCAATTGTGTAAAATTTTAGTAAACTTTTATTGTACTTCATTATGTTTTTTTTAAATTTGCTTATTACTTTTTATAAATTATTATATTATTTTAAGTTTTTCAGTATTCTTAAGTTGTTTTATGAGAAAAATCAAGCCAAGATTTAAAAAAAGTATGAAATGAGGGACTTTTAATATTTTATATGCAACAAAAAATCTTATGTATAATAATGGTCAATGATTTTATTTAAAAACAATTTAAATAGAAAAGTTCAATTATCCCAGATTTATTAAATATTAAAAATGTGGGGTAAAACTGTTTAGCTTCAATACTCATTTCGTTTATATTTCAAAATTATTTAAATTTTCTGCATTCCATTTAAGAAAATTAAATACTAAACCTAGTAACAAATAGTGAATATTTTTTTAGGGCCATTCACTAATTATTTTGTAATATGAATTTGCAAATTTATTATATAGAGTCGAAATTTTAGAGTTTTTTTTTTCGGTTAGCTTAATTCTTTATATATCTATAAATTCAGTGTGATCTTGATCAGGTGATGAAAAAAACTAGAATAAAAAATTTTTTTTGACAGATGTTTTAGTTTTTTCATTTCAAAACTGTAGCAAGCAGAAAAAGAGGTGAAAGTACTCCAAGATTATTGGTATCTTTCTTAAGAAATCAAATATTTTATTTGATAAAAACTTGGCTTAAGCTTATGGACTTAAATAAGTATGATCTTTAAACACATCTAACAAAGAAGTTTTGTGTCAATAAATTTAATTACCTTTTTTAATTAAAAGAATATTTTGTTATAAGTTTAAAAACATGCATAAAAGAATAATTTCTTAATAGATTTCCATTCCAGAATTATGAATCTGAATAGGATTGTTGTTAAGTTTCTTTTCTCTTGGTCATGCTAGAGTTTGTTTTCATTCCTTTTTAAGGGCACTAACTATAGCATGTGGATGCTCCAAGCAAGCAGTTTGCCTCGGGCATTCACATGCCTCAGTTTTATTAAAGTAGATTGTTTTCTGAATTTGTTACCATTTAAAATTTTCTTTAAAAGAAAAACTTGTTTGCATTATCATTGTTGCTTTTTTTCTTTTTATGCATCTGAAATTTCCAAGGGAACTGACGAATTTCAGAGTATTATCCCTCTTTTTTTTCAACCAAGTAATAATTATTATTGAGGAAACAATTTTAAAAATGTAGCAAAATTAAATTTGAAAGCATGAAAAATAATCCTGCAATCGCAATTCATTTGAAAAATTATGGGTTTCATAAGTGGTTATAAAGTAATATTTTTTTAAATTTGTATTTTACAAAATTTGATCTGATAATTTTTGATTGAAGGTGTGACATCTATAAGCAGGGCATTTGTTACAAATTCCTATCCGAAACAATATATAGTATATTAAATCAATGGAGTATATTTATTCTTCATTTATGCTTATATGATTTCAGTAAAATTGAATATAGTGATAATAATTCTCATAATATAGAGGTGTATCTTACAATTTTGAAATGCGCAAAATATAATATTTTAACGTGCACAATTGCATTATTTTCTTACAAACTCGTGTGGTGCTTCAGCTGCTCTTTCGCTTTTGATTTTCAAATAGGTTTTAATAGACCAATGTACTTTATTCTAATATTTCAATGTACAGTATAAAAATTTTCCTGTATTTTTTGGCAAAAGATATTAAATTTATATGTGATTGCATCCACTAAACGATTTATAAATAAAATGTTAAAAAATCATGTGATTGAATTTCTATTCTGAATAACTATGTATAGTTTTTAATCTCTTTTTTTTTATTATTGCAATTTAAACATCAGAGTCGAGAGATATGCATTCTACAATTCAAAGGAATTTGAGGTAACTAAGAAAAATCTTTATTTTTAATGCTTCTATCTCGCAGCTGCCTTGCCTGTGCTATTTTTTTCTCCCAAAATGAAAAATTATAAAGAGAGGTGAATAGTTCTAAAATTTGTTTTCTTGTAAAGCAATAAGGAGGTATTGGTACATAAAAAAATTTCAAACTTAATATTTTTTTAAATTTTAGTATAAGTTTTATTATTTAGAGAGAGTTTGTCCTAACCTTATTTTCTGCCTCTTAGCTCCACAGCCATTTATTTGCGAATTTTTATGCGCATGGTATTATAAGCTTTAATAGCATTGATATCGAAGTTGTATTTAATCGTAATGCTTTGCAAAATATCTCTAGTACAATAATTTAGTGGTTTTGCATATAGTTTGTCTTATGTTAAATGAAACGCTAACCTTATTTTATACCTCTTAGCTGCACTGCGATTTATAGGAAATATTTTTATGCACATGCTATTAAGCTTTACTCAAAATTGTGGGTAATCGTAAAGCTTTGCAAAATCTCTTTAATATGTCGTGGGGTAGTTCAATAATGTAGCAGTTACCAAATGATGTTCCACGAAGCCTTGGTGTTTTGTGGCACCCTAAGGTTCTTTGGAAGAGTAAAGTGCGTTTTGATAGGTGAAATTTTTATTTTAAACATTTTTTTAATACTTTTCAAATCTGTTATTATATTTAGATCTTATCAATAATCCATTATTTATTTAATATTTTGGTTACGTTTATGAAACTATTCAAAGTAAAAGGTCCATAAGAAAGAAAGGGCAATTTCTATTAAAAATTTAATTTTTCTAATAATGTATTGTATAAATTTTACAAAAAACCATGCTTTTATATTAAAACTTGCAATAGTATTTCCCATCGTTCTTTTCATATCAAAATGAAATAGCCAAACTCCTTAATTAAAAATTATGTTTCGCTAATATAACCATTTTTTAACGTCTACCACAGTTGTTTTTAGTTATTATACAAAAACCATAATTCGACTTTTTGATTTATTTTCTGTTTATCCGTATATATATTACAGTCGAACTTGTTTATCTCGAATCTCACAGGAAAGGCGAAAAATTCGAGATAAAGAGGTTTCAAGCTATACAGGTACTATAAAAAATTTTATTTAATTAAGAAATTCTATTAAAAGTGCTTTGTTTTTAGTTGAAAAATATAGACATTTCTTTAAATTAATTATACCATATACGCCTATTTACATAACAGTTTTTTAACATACTGAAAATAATTTTCCAAGATTTTTACTGATAACTATTTGTTTCTGTTATTCTTTGAGGTTAGAAAGATCGCAAATTCCTCATACATCGTTTTCTATAGTTCACTTTAAAACTCTTAATTATCCATTGGTTGCAATTTTGAGGTCAAAAATGATTTTCTATTTTTAGCTTTCTTATCTATGTTGAAAAGCTAACCCCTGATGGTCACTACTCATTAACCCCTCACTTATTGCTAGAATCATTGTATTCCTTTCTAGTTAAGGAAGTGCAGGGGTAGTGATTAAAATTCCAAGAAACACCCCCAACCTGTTTATCCCTACTTCCCGTGAATTCACGTCTGTATACGAGTAAAATTAGTAGTGTAAAATTCATCTCTGTCTACGAGTTCTACTGATAAGGAGGAAAATTTTGACATTTGTGCTCTATTATTAGAAATTCGAGAAACAGAGGTTTTGAAAAAAAAAATTTCTACATAAACATGGAAAATACATTGATTTTAGACAGTAAATGTAGGGAATTTTAAAATTTTCGAGATATAGAGGTTTTCGAGATAAACAGGTTCAACTGTATATATAAATATATATACCAAAAATAAATTCATATATTTAGCTCTACCACTGAGTTCTAATGTCGGACATAAAACCTTATCTAAGATTATTACATGATAAAACAAAAAAATTTCATTCCTCTTATTAGATCTTTTCAAAGTAAAGTTACCTTTTATTGGTTAATACATTTATTGTATTTACTTTACTTATAAAATTGGGCTTCCGCCAAAAGAAGATTGATCAGTTAGGATTACATAATCAAAAAAATTGGGAATTGCTGCAATAATTCAATGAGTTGTGTTTCTGAAACTTCTCCTATGCTACCCCATTTATACTAGTCAGTTATGCCCCTACATGTATGTACTACTACTAGTGCAATTGAGTTGTCTAACAGCAACCTGTTAATTACACTTTTGGATTAGTATATTTCGTAAATATAGACAGTGTATCAAGTTTTTATCAGCTTCAATACACTCATTTCTATTTTCATCAGCTTAATGCTGCACCTTTTTAAAAGAAAGTCCATTAATTAATTTCCCACTTTAAGTTCTTAACCGAAGAAAAAAGCTTTTTTTATTTAAATTTTTTGTTGCAACATCAAAATTATGTTCAAAGAACATTTTTATTTTGCTAGTATTAGTAAAACAATCATAAATTTGTATCCAAGACATTTTTGATTTGTGTACAACTGTGATCCATCAAGTAAACTGTGTAATAATAATAAAACAATATATATTTAGTTGTTTATTTTAAAATTATGTTAAAAGGAGTATAATCAAAACTACTTAAAATTAAAGACAGTAATATTAATGAATTTTAGGTCATTAACACTTCAGAAATTTTTTATTAAAAAGTAAATACTGAAAAAGTAAATATACTTTTAGAGGTCATTGACTATTGATGGGGTCAAACTGATTAATTCAGAGCAGGCATTGAGCAACAGTATCACTTTACATCTATTTGTAATACAATTCAGATTTCAAAGTAACATACATGGTTATTCATCTGTTTAAAAAAATAATTTTTTAAATTTGTTAGTAAAATTCTGTTTTTCTCAACTAAGTTTTTTCTTTAGATAGTTTATTTCCACTTTTTGAAAGTTTAGCATTGGTTCTCATATTCAAAAAGAAAACTAATTGATGCTGGTCATTAAGATTCTCCTTGTATAATTATTTTGAAATTTATCAATATTTAAAATTGATGAGTTTCAAAATTAAGGCACATCTTCAGCCCTTTGCTTTAACTTAATTCAGTCTGTCTGTTTTATTACTTAAGACAAAACGATAAAACTATTAAAAACAAGATTTTATTGTTCAAAGTATTTGTTTAGACATATTCAAGGAATAATTTTGGCAGCCACTGCAATACTTTCAATGCTACACTCATCTGTTCCTCGTCGTATTCTGAAGTATCCTTTTTCTCCCCATGTCTCTCCCCAACTGTTCTTGACAATCCAATACTTTTCACCAGTTTTTTTATCAGCTCCATACCCAACAGCTAAAACAGCATGATTTGTTATCATAAAAGGATTGAATCGAGATTGAAGACCTGTGTGATGGTAGATACCTCCACTGTAATGAGTGAAGTCATCATAGACTTCAAAAGAAACAGCTATGGGGCCATTTTTCACCAATTCCATTTTCATCAATTCTTCGTTACATCTATAAAAAGATTTATGTGTAAGTAGGACAACATTTTCATACTTTCTAAATACCTAATGCACATAGTATATATTTTTGAATATTGTAATAAACCAAGTAAGATTTAGGTACCACTTAAAACACATCTCATTAATAATAATAAGTCACACTACTTATTTAGTGTCAACCAGCTCTTTTTTCCCACACTAAACGTTTGCTTATGACTGATATCACAAAGGCATCAGAAAAGCAAGTGTTAGGCACATGGCCAAAAGGTTAAATTAAATTAAAAGTCTATAAAGGAAGTTATTTTCAATTGTGAAAAATAAAAGATATCTATTTGTAAGAGTCTGTGTGTTGTTATACACAAGTAATGCACCTAACTAAGCTTGAAATTTTTTTTCCTTCTTTTTTACATCAGATTCCTTATTCCTCGATTTTATGAAAATAAATAACTTGTAGAGGAAGAAGCATCTATTAGTGACATTTAGGGTCAATCATACCCAATATGGACTAAAATAAATGGTTTTTATTTTGGCCATTTGTTTACAGATAAATATTATAAAATATCAGGAAACAAACTAAAACATGCTTAATACTAGCCTCAGTAAAAAGATTTGAAATAAGACACCTATGTGAGATGTTGGTGATTCAAATATAATGTTAATGCGATTTATTTTTCAGCTTAATAATAGCTCTATGCATATGTTTTCATTAATATGCAAATCGAAAAAGATGTTCCAACATATAAATAAATGTTTCATTTGGGATTGTAAAAAATTTTAGATTTTTCAAGCCCTGCTAAAATTTAAACACTGTATAAAAGTTGCTATGTACAACAAATATGTCTTTATCTAGGGTTTAAAAATAATAATTTCAAAGCAGATCAAAAATTAAGATGATTCAAGTTATGGCACTTTTTGATTTAGAACTTTAAATGCTTAATATTTTTTAAAGGAGTTGTCACATTCAGTGGCCCCCAAGCTCTTGGGCGCATTTTTGGGCAATTCTAAATTCCCCTCCCAAACTATTCGTTTTATTTAGTGTAAAAATTCCCCCCCTCAAGCTTTAAGTGGACGCATCATGCGCCCACCTTCCCCCTGGTGGGGGCCCCTGGTCACATTTGTTCTTTCATTTCTCTATTTTATTTGAAAATCGCATGAGTAATTACTAAATTTATGAAAAATTATACTATCAAACATTTACTACTGAAATTTTAATAGTTGTATAACTTACCCGCCATAAAATCCACCAATGTATTTAAAATCTGCAACATAGAACCGTTTGCATTTCTTTTCGTTGCATTTATCATCTTTACCAGTGTAAGGGTTACACACTTCTGGAACAACACCAAAATCTTGAGCATATTTTCCTGCTATTAAATATGGGAATCCACCTTCACAACCTGCATTTGAATAATAAATAATCGAAAAATTAAATTTTTTTAAGCTACATATTTTTAAATGCTCAAGTGTGGAACAAAAATAAATAATGCACAAGCAACTTAGTGACAGACTATGTAATCAGGCCCATGCTGGGTGCTTTAGAATTGAAGGGGACGATAAGGGTGTCTTCATAAGAAATAATCTTATGATGTATCCTATTCTTCGTCTACTATTGCTTAGATTCCATTGTCAAAATAATGGATACGTATTTATTGACATTTTGGGACGACACGAAATAATCCTATGATGTATCCTATTCTTCGTTTATTATTACTTAGATTCTATTGTCAAAATAATGGTATCCTATTTATTGACATTTTGTCTAATTTGTTATTTATGATCAAAAATAATCATAGCACTTTTTTTCTTTAAAGTGCTTTTTTAAAATTCTGCATTTAAAAAAAATGGTAAAGCATTTCAACTGTATATTGCATCCTTATTGGGAAAAACTCAGCTTCTTTCATTTGTTGCAATACATAAAAAAATATTTCTTTGGAAAGTCGAATTTGGAACAATAAAAAAAATGGCATAAAATGGAGGATTTTGCTAGTTAACTTTCATTGAATAAGTTTTAACTCCAGATTCAGATATTTGACAATATTTAAGTAATATATTGCTATAAAGTTTCCATAGTTATGATCAGCGACTAATTCAATTTCTTCAATATGAAAAGCATTAAATATTTATTGTTTTCCAACAAAGTTTCACTGTAAAATTGAAAGGGAAAAAAAATATTTTTCTTGCACAAGTAAAAAAAACTACATACAACTTGGGTTTTTATACCAGAAAATGGAAACTAATAAAACGCTATGATGTGTGATGCATATAATTTACAACGTTATTCTAAAAAATATCCAGTTAAATCTTGTGCTATTTTAAAAAGTAACTTTAATCAAATTATTTAATGTGATTCAGTAAGTAACATCTAGCAATATTTCAAATTATTTTGCATTTTAGAAAAATAATTGCACTATAATTCTCTTAAATTGTTCAAAAATGTGTTTATCTTAATTCGCGAACAAAATTTTTAACTTTTCTTCACTCAATGTTAAAAAGCGTCTGTAACTGTGCTGTTATTAGGCCTATTTTTTAAAATAGTAGAAGTCTCCATCCCTTGCTCGCTTCACTTGTCAATCTCATGATTGCTTTGCAGTCATCTTTAGTTTGTTCTAAAGCAAATTTTATTAATAAATAAAATTTATACCATTTTCCTATATTTTATTTGTACCCATGATGCATTAACAGTCTCTATTACAAAACAAATTCATTCCCACCCCTGTTTCAGAAAATGTTCTCTGTGTATGATCCACACTCTCATAACTCGAAAACTAAAGGGTCAAAATTATAAATTTTCGCTCAAACAAAAAAAACAGAAATAGAGAAAAAGGAACATTCCGAAATGAAAATGTTATTGATACCTTCAGTAGTCTTTGAGTTATTTATGACATTTTTTTTCTTGCCTTGCATTATTTAGAAACGGAAACTAGTAGCTGAATTATTTTTTGCAGCCACAAACCATTAGGTTTGAAGATAAGCAACAAATCTCAATTTATTTAAATTTCTAATTAGTTTTTGATAATATTTAAACGAACAAATATATAAATTTTCTGACACTTTATTGGTAATCCCTCCCATGGCTAATAGGACAGATAAATGAGCATAGATAGCAAAACCCAAATGTCCGGAGGGTAAAGGAGTAGCAGAGTAGAATTTGAATTATTAAAAATATAAATTTGTGAAATTTGGAACTCAAAATGTAGAAAGATTTACAAATTTCATTATTTCAAAATAAAGTATCTGGCCAACATAAAAAAAATTTTTTTTATCTTTTTAAACTAAGAGAAAACTGAATGACCAGAGTTTGATAAGTAAATTTTTACAGTAATAATCAAAAGTAGAAGCAAACTGACAGTAATATTACTGTATAAAACACTTTCACTTGCACAAAAGGTGTTCTGACTATTTTACTGAAAACTTCAATGAACAATGTAGACTCAATAGTAGGTTCATTATAGCTATAATTCAGTAATCACAGAAGTTTTTTATTTTTATTTTGCAGGAATCAGAACTGAAAATGTAGAATAGATTACATTATTTTCACGTGTAACTTGAACTATAATTTTAACTTATAAGTCAAACATTAAATTCTTCGGAAAAAATTTTTCATTGAAAGAGCACAGTGGAAAAAGTCATCCTATCCCTGGGTAGCACAGATGTGTGCATAATATTGTTTTTATATTTGTATTTCAAAATATTTTGGTTAAATTGAGACAAGCAAATTAGAAAAGCTGATTAAGTACTTCATCAAGAAGATAAACTATTATCCTTAGTTACAATTGAAATAACCAAGTCCACTCTTTAATATGTTTTAAATAAAACATTAAAAAAAACTTTAGTTAAAAAGTAATTTTTGCTTTTTATAAGCAGGGCCGTGGTTATATCTTATGAAATCAAAATCTCAAATAACAATTATGTATCTTATAATNGCCAACATAAAAAAAATTTTTTTTATCTTTTTAAACTAAGAGAAAACTGAATGACCAGAGTTTGATAAGTAAATTTTTACAGTAATAATCAAAAGTAGAAGCAAACTGACAGTAATATTAAAAGTAATAAAGTAATAAAAAAAATGAGTTAAAATTAATGAAGAGCTACAACAAATTTGTAGTATAATTTCTAATAAAATAATGTAGAATTATATTTAGAAATTTTAAACAAAGGAATGACAATGAATACCTTGAGAATATTCTGAACAGCTAACAATATCCTGTGGAGAAAATATAGTTTGATCTTTGTTATTAGTTGCAACTCTTAATCGTGCTTCTAGCATTCCCATTGATGAAAAAGAATAACAACTGCCACAACCTCCTAAAAATAAAAACAAAATTATTACAGTAGTTTAAATAATTATCAATAAGCAAAGAAAAAAGAAGCATGTTTTTTTTTAAAAAATATGCTGCTCAATTGTTTATTAAGCTGGTGACCATTTGTAACACAATGAGTAAGAATTATTGGATTATTTCGCATTAAACATAAAAAACAGAAATTTTTATACTGAAAAAACTAAGAAATAATATATTTTGAAAGAAAAAAAATAATAAAATAGTTACTAATGAAAAAATGCCCAATTAAATACACTACAAATTTACACACAATTAAAATAATAATGAATAGAGATAGCTTTAAAAACAAAGGAAAATATTAAATAAAACACATATAAAGGTGAAGTTATTCTGGAAGTTATTGTTAGTGTGGAACCCCACATTTGTTTTTTCTTTAGCAAAAAGTTCTTAGTTATTCTCTAATATTATATCTCCCTAGTAATTATTAAAAATTTAAAACAGTACTGAGTTACAGATAGTAAAAATTAAAAAAAAACTTTTAGGGAAGGCAAAGGATAAAAGGGAGCATGCAGAGGAAAATTAAGTGTTTTATATTGTTTATATTATATTGTTTATTTTCTTTGTTCAGATAGAAACACGTTTTAAGTTTTAATAACATATTTCAACAAACAAGATTATGAAATTATAATAAAATATTGACATAAATAAAACTGGGTATTTTGTCAGTATTTTATTTTAATTTTATAATCTTATTTGTTATTTTCATCAAAAGATGTAAGAAGCTACTCAAAACTTCAATTCCAAGAATATTTTTTGGTCTTAGCAAAATAATTAAATCAAATAAAATCTTTTTTTCAGAGACCATCTATACATATATGCTACATTTTAACCTCTCTTCTACTTTATCACAAAGTGTCGCACTTCACCCTTGTCACATTTACATAAAGATATACTATATATTCAGAAACATAACACGCAAGTCTTATTTTTAAACTTTTAAGTAGAATAGTGTTTTAATGGTATTTGTGAGATTAACAATTATAATGATTAGGGAAGTAGTTATTTTGATAAGAAAGATAAAATAAGCAAAATAAAAATATTTCATCTGAAATTTTAAGTGTTTTTATTTTAAATATTATGCGTGTAGTCACACTTCATGTTATCTCTCTCTCTCCCTTGTCACAATTTCTTGAACCCACTCCCTAAATATTAATAGAATGATGATATTATCATAAACTGTATTTTTGATTATTAAAACATTAAATTAATAGCATTGAATAACATTACTTGGTTGTCAAATATACTATTTATAAAAAAAACTTGAATACAGTTAAGAAGTATATTGAGTAAAGCCATAATGTAGAATTTTTTAGTTATATATTGCACAACACATGAACTTACCTACTTTGGAGGGGAAAACAATTAGAGAAACAGTTTATATGAAATTTGAGAGAAGTCCTTTTTGTTGATTTCTAGATTTTGAACAGCACCAAGCAATGTAAAAAATTTCATATTTTGGTTTATAACTGGCTGACATAATTGGATAACATTGAAAGTTAATTGAATCATAATTTGAAAATGCTTTAATATGGGCAAAAATTAAGTAAAATTAAATATCACATCACTGTCCTGAATATCAAAGTTTTACAGTAATTTAATAACGACAAAATATCTAGTTATAAAATAAAATGTAACCAAGAAATTTATAAGGAAGTATATGGAAAAAAATTGAAGGTTCTTAAGAATGGAAACAAAAATAGTGATTTTACAAGATAGAAACAAAAAATACTAGCACATTTAAACTAAAAAAAAATTTTCCTTAGAAAACCTTAGAAATTTTAAATGTATGAAGAACTTTTCCAAGTTTGTCTCTTCTAATATCGAAACACCAAATAACAAAAGTTCCATCAGAACGTCTTTCAGAAAAATTTTAGAAATTATAAAAAAAATCTTACCTTGATTTCGCACTGGAGACACATAATTAACTCCACTCACATTTCTCCAATCAAATTCTTCAGGTAGATCTTGAAACATAGGCCAAACTTTTGGTGAGCGAAGTGAAGGAGATCTAAACAGTTCAAACCAAAGTTATAGAGAAGCATTAAATTGTTGAAACTCAAAAAATATGAAAATTGATATAAAATTAAGAAATTCCTACTTGTGAATACGAGATTTTACACCGCCTAATCTTCTGAAATAGCTTGTTAATGACATACCATCCAATTCTGGGTATACAGTAGCAGTCCAGGAATTTTGAATAGAGTTGATAGCATGAACAAAATCTTTGTCTTGTCGATAAATTCCATCTTCAAGGCTGATAAGAGAAGTAATTTTTTAAAATATATTATTAAAATGTTTTACTAAAGGACAAGCTTTTTCAGCGGAATTCCGCTTTTTTCAATTTAACGAAAAAAAATCTGCATTTTCAAGGAAAGTTTCACCTTTTTAAATTCGTTTTCTATGCTTTTTCCTACCGAAGTTAACAAGATTTAAAATCACATTCACGTCATTTAAAATTAAACATGGGGATTCAAATTCATACCATTTAAAATTAAATATTCATTTTGTATTCACGTAATTTAAAATTATACATTGTTATTCATAGCCACTACATGCATCTTGCTAAGTATATACACCGGTTTTTTTATTGGCTACCAAGATTTAACTTGCAACCACTGCTTTAGATTGGCTATATGACTCAGATTGGTTTTTTAGATTGGCTATATGACTCACAGTTCTATTTTGAAATATAATACTGTTGTTATTGTTACTTATTTATTGTTTTTTAACTATTCTTATTGCTTAATAGCTATTTTTTATTGCGTAAAAGGTAATAAAAGTTTGGATTTTCAAAATGAATAAAATTAGAGAATGGATAAATGGTCAAGTAAGATAACACAAAGGACTCTTAGTATTTCAAACTCAAAGAGGAAAGTATAAAAGTTCGAATAATCTCAAATTTAAACCAGCAAAAACACACATTGATTAAAAAATTAACTACTATAACATTGGATTGTATTTAATCACCTCACCTTAAAATTACTTAACTATAATCATGATCTAGAAGTTAAGATAATATTATTATAAGTTTAAAAAATTCATAATCACACAGATATATTACACTGCCTGCAACTTGGGACAAACCACATTTTCAAACTTGTTGAGGAGATTATGTTAGCAGTTAGTTGTGTCAGTTATAAGTGAAAATTAAATACCTATTTATAAACCCTATTAAGGATTAATTTGATTTCACAATATTTTTTGAAAATGTGGCTTATCATTATGTTGACCCAACCCTTTATATGCACAATTTATTTTTATAACACACTATTCAGAATGACCTAAAAAGTTTTGTGATAATCATAGGCTTAGCGTGACGGGGTACACTTTTCGTTCTTAGAAAATCGTTTGTTTATTTAATGTTTTATGTATATATGAATATTTATTTTTTATATGTATGTTATATGTTGTAAGTAGAGAACTTAACCACACATTTCAAATTTTGGCAAGCTTGTAGAGAAATTTCCCTTCAATGAGCACCTTTCTTACAGAGTAAGAAGAAGGGAAAATGGTTTTTCCTCATGAAAAATAACAGGTGAAAGTGTGTCTTGTGTGGCAAATGCCGCAAACCATTTTCCCTTGCAAATGCATGTGTGGTTCATTAACGGAATAATGTAAAATCTAGAAAAGATTATTGGATAAAAATTAAAAAAAAAAAAATATCGAAATTGTAGGAAAAAATTTTGAACAAATATTGAATCTTAAAATTGGTATGAATAGAAATTATAGGGAAATTAATGTCATATCAAATTGTTCAGGTTCAGATTAAAGAGTCTACTAGATATAGGTAAATATATAGAACTGTGTGAGTGATAAAATGTGTAAAAAAAAAATTCTAACGAAATCAACAAAAAAATTTTTTAAGTAAAATAAAAATTTTCTTTGTTTAAAGTGGAGACTTTAATAGAGAGAAAGTTGATCATGGTCAAGCCTGAATCTTTGTAACTATGTATCAATAACCTTTAATACAATATCTTTATAACCTGCACATTTCCCCATATTAAGAACTGATTTAACAATGAAAATGTTGAAAGATTAAAAAAATAATAATAAATTGAATGTAAAATTTTTAGAAGTATGGAAACCCCTGGTTTATTGGGTTGTTTGTTGCAAAAGGAATTTTGGTTTTTTACGTGCTAATGTATGTAAAAGACATAATGTATACTAGTGTAATTTAATGTGCTAATATATGTAAATCATGTTATTGAATTTTTAAAAAAAATTTTTAATCTGAAAATGTGAAAGTTGCTTAAATGCACTTCCCTTCTTAACAAAAGATCTCAATACAATCATTTACAAATCCTACATAAAATTAACCAACATGTAATTAACTATCACATTTAATATTGCATTTGAATTCTAAATTACATCTTTTAGTAAATATTTATTCCAGAAAAACCTTTTAAAATCACATTTAAAAAAAAATCGAGCTTATTATAAAAATTATCGAATCATATCATATATTTACTATTGAAATATAAATATGCTTTAAGCAACTTGGTCTGTCAATTAATAGTTGCATTGATTAATACAGTCACTACATTTACGTAAGCAACAACTTAATAATCTAAGTTGCATAGATGACAAAATATGGTATCATTAGTTGTATTATTAGTTATGACATTAATTATCAATTGAACATCATAGTTTGTTTGGTGTAAAGGCAATAACTTATAGACTTGCAAGTTTAATTTACTTTTAATTATATAAATGCTTATACACAATAATCAAATGAGCACTACCATACACTCTAATGACCATAACTTATACACAGATAAGATAAAACAGAAACAATGTTAATTATAGGATCTATGAGAAATATTAAACTATTTTTTTAATTTTGCTTTAAGTACAGTCAACAATTTCATAGAGGCTTGTTAATCAAATTTAACTTCAATCTCATTCATTAAAATATTTAAAACATTGCACTTACATACTTTTAAAATTTTTGATAATTTCCTCTATTGCAGTCATTGAAAAAACACTATTATCTGTAACCATACTTATAAGAGAAATATGCAAAACTGCTCAGATATTAAACATGTCGTTTCAAGGGTCTGTTCTGGAGAAGCTTCGGCCTAAGGATTTTTTACAGATAATTAAATCGTGAAAATGGTCCTTTAAAAAAATATTTTATCTTAAAATCAGACCCTTAGCAAAATTATTTTAGAAAATGTCGATGACCCAATGAATTGGTGATCTGCACATAGTTAGATAAGAGACAGATTTATAAACAATGTTTATTGAATACTTTACTTATTTTACTAAATTTTAAAAAAAAAAAGAACCCTGGCAAAAAAAGTCCTTTTAAGCTAATTTTGAACTCACACAATTATGAATAGATCTTTCACACAAACAGACACTTTGATAATAAAAATTAGGAGAAACCTGATCTTTTAGCAAAGATTAATGACAATAATTTTACTAAGATAAACATTGTATACAATTGTCATAGGAACCATTTTGTATTTCATTATTTGCCCTTTGAATGAGCAATTATTAAATAAAACTAATCACTACAATTTTGGTACCATTTCATCATGGGGCCCTGTCACCACAGTATCTATATTAAGCACATATTACCTCAAAACCAGTAGTTACCAACAGGGGTGAGAAGTTTCTTCCAGAATGGAAATAAATCACCTCAGAAGAAATAGAATTTTTTTTTTTTTTTAAACAAAGTTAAAAAAGAGAACAAACCCTTTCTCAAAAAAAGTAAATGTGTAATTAAAATAGTTCAAAAAAATTTAAAACACTTCACAATTGCAATCTAGTTTTAATAAAAGTATTAATTCCAAAGCAATTTGATACATCAATTTTAAATAAATGAAAATTAAAAAGCTACAATGAATGAAGAAAAATAAATTTATTGAATTTCTGAAATTTTTTTTAAAAAAACTATTGTTTCTCTCAATATTTTATGTAAAACAGTAAAGTAGGGGTGCACAACTGCTGGCTGTTAATATGCTTCTGACAAAATCTTCTAAATGCAAAGAAAGAAAAAAACTTTTTCGAAAATTTTGAAAAAGAAACAATTTATATATATTGTTTCTTGATTGCTTTTTCCATAGTAACGGCTTTGGAATTATGCAGGATTCCTTTTCTAAAAAAAATATTTTTATTACTTACAAGTTACAAATTTCGAAATTCAGTATTCGTATATTCAGAATTTGTTTTATTTTCACCAATTTTATTAAAATCCAATATTTTTTTTCAGTTATAACTACAGTATGGAACCGATTATCTGGAACGATCGGGACCATCGCTATTCCGGATAACTGATTTTTCCCGTTTTCTGAATCGCTACAAAAAGCCGTTTTTTAATTGTTAAACCCATCTAAAAAAAAATTTTTTTTTGGAAATAATCTTAAAAAGAAGAAAAAACGATGGAGTAATACACTAATGATTATTTCTAAAATGATGGTAAGGTAAACATCTTTCAAAAAAGAACAAAAAATCCTAAAATCTTATGAGAAAATTTTTTTTTAAATGGCGGGAAAATTTATCGAATTTCGTCCCGGTTTTCTGATTTCCGAATAACAGGTTCTATACTGTACTAATTTTAAGTGGCTTTTAAAATCCTGACACATTTAATACGATATTACGATGCACGAGTTATAAATCGGGTATTTAATTGATCATTTATGTTCTTCATTCGCACCAACTTCATGGGGCAACTAAATGATTTCAATTTTTTTAAAGGCAGTTATTGCTATGCTCCTCCACATGATTTTGAACATCCCATATTTTTACAACTTCGACTTAGGTACGAATTTCATCGTAAATTCAAGAATTTTTTCAACAACTTTTTAGGCAGTTATGGCTCTACATTTCCATGTGGTTTTAAAAATTCCATGATTAATTTCATCGTAAGTGTAGGTATTTTTATTTCTTCACAATCATTGAGATGTTTTTCTTTTTTAACTACAATATTATGACATGCGAGTTTCTAATCCTCCATTTAAATAGTAATCACTTTTTGATACAATTTTGCATCCATTTCATCATAAACCCAAACTATTTTTCTACTGTTTCTTTATTAGTTAGCACCATGTATTTCTATCATTCATTACGTGGTATTTAGTATCCAAATATTTAATACAATGTTACTGCATTATGAGAAATTCAAAAAGTGGAGGAAAACCTGGATTTTCAAGCTGTCCACTATTTGCAATTTAATTTTAAACTTTGTGCTGGTTGAGAGATTTCTTTAGGAAAAAACAAAACATTTTATATTTAAAATTTATAAAACCCCTAATAATTCAAGAAATAGAAATAATATCTGAAGCATAATACCAAATAAATATTGAATCTTATTTTGGACCACAGTGGGTTTGTTTTAATTTTTAGTTTAAACCATATAAGTTTTCTTTAATTTAAATATTTAACTTGAATTTACATTACTCATTAAAATATGTGTTTATTTTTCTTTTATATATTTTCCATCACTGCATTATATATATATATTTGATATATCAATTTTCAATAAAATGGAGAAAAAAAAAATCTTTTTTTTTACTTTTGAATAAAGTGTAATTATTAATAGTATTTAATTTTCTGTGAATATTTTACTGATAAAGAAATTTAGTGCTTAAAACACTAATGTTTATAATAAAAATTATCATATTTGCAGTCAACATGTCTAAATACGCTAGCAGCCCTTTCTTAATGAACCTGTTGTGCAATTTGCCCTTCACTCAAAAAGGTTGTGCACCTCTAAATAAAGTAAAACTTGATTTAAACAAGTAATTCACAAAAAATACATTTAACAAATATCATGCTATAAATCTGAATTCACAATTAACAGCAATATACTAGCAATCGGGAATTAAATTTAATTTGTTTAAATTTAAACTACTTTTATAATGCTTAATTGATAAAGAATTGTATTGCTCAATTTTAATTTTTTCCAGAAGAAATCTGCTTACGTGATTACCTATTACCATAATTAAGAAAGTATCACTGATGTGAATAATAGTTGTGAAATTTTTTTTTGGCCTTCCAAAACGAAATAGTAACCAATATTTTTAAAAATAAATAAATAAAGATACTAATATGATAAATAATTTTCAAATATTTAACTGATTATAGTAAGAAACCTGCATTAAATTTAAAACATAATCTTCATATAAAATTTGCCATATCACTTAGTGTTACTTACAACCAAAACAATAAGTTAAGATAATGCACATTAAGTGTTTTGTCCAAAGTCCAATAATTGTGTTTCCATATAGGACAGCACTTTAAAAGAAAAAAAAAATACAACACTTATAATACTGTACACCCTCTTGTGATATTAAAATAGAATTTTTTTCAACTTAAGTGTCAGCTCAATAATATCACATATCTTTGCATCTAAATCTTGTATATTACAGTGGAAAACTTAATCAATGATAAAATATAAAAAGTCGACTTTAATAATAAGTTATAGGCATATTCTATGAAAGACTAAATTATGGCAAGAAAAAAAGAACATGGGGCAAGCCTCTCTCACCTAAACTCTTTAATCGAATTATAATAATAAATGAAGAAAAAATACATCTCATTTAAAAAATAACTTTTTTCAAATTCAAAATAAAAACAATCCAAAATAGCTGATTTTGTTTTTTGATAGTCTGTGAATAATTAATCAGAGTTACTTTATCTATTAGTAGTAAATCGCAATTATTTAAACATTAGGTAGATCCAAGACACTAGGTAAGCGATAACCCATGTTCATAAGCATTATTTCTAACGGATCGGCATTCATTCGCCTTTGATTAGCAACAGCAGCATCTTCTAAATCGACAATTTCTCGCTCGTCGGTTGAACCATCTTCTGCTTTTGGACCCCACAGCCTCACTACGGGATCAATCCCGCTCGTTGCCAACAAACAAGTAGCTTGATGCGGCTGTAAGCAATTAACAATCGAATCATCCCCTCGCAGCACTCTTGAAATATTGGTGGTGACTCGATCCCAGATAAATATCGATCCATCATCTGACCCAGCTACAATATACTGTCCATCACTGCCAAAGAAGTTAGCTTCTTTAATATCAGTAGTAGTATTACAGTGACCACAAAATCGTGCTTCATAGTCAAAGGATGACGTTCTCCATTTTCGTTCTTTTTCCGATAATGCCATTAGAGCTTTCGCTGCATTGTTTAGCCGACGTTGACTTGTAGAAGAAGAAGACAGTACGGTAGCGTCGGGCTCGTCGCTACTATCAGAATCCATTCCTTCCAAGTCAGCGTAGACAGACACTTTTATATCCGTCTCGAATGCTTCAAATGCTCTAGATCTGGCATAGTTGGGAAATCTTTCTCGAATTTTTGCCAAACACTCCATAGCTGCTTTCCCCCAATGAAGTTTATGCAGACATTGAGCTAAGCGGAAATATGCTTTTAGGTATTCCGGATCCAACCGCATGGCAGCATAACAGTCCCTTATGGCTGCATAATAATCACCATCCCACTCTCGTTTCAAATAGGCAGCAGCTCTGTTAGCATACAAGCAAGCGACATCAGGATATTTCACAATTGCTTTACTATACAGGCTTATAGCTAAGGTGAATTCTCGTTTATCGAATGCTTCGTTCGCTTTACGTTTCATACTTTGAAATTTTTGACAAGTAGGTTGGGGTGTCTGCTTTCTCCCACAAGACTTGTCGGGTATATCAGACGGTAAAATTGAAAAATGTACCCCGTTTGTCGTTCTACCATTACTGCAAGTTTTGGAAGCACTTATTCCATCAGAATAGCTACAACCAGGTTTATTGTCATGCATTCCCTCACTGTTCGCTTCTTGATTGTTTGCGGAAAAGTTCATCGTTATGACCTTTAATAATTTTCTTTTGGACAGAATATTGAATAAGTAAATTTGCTCTCCACCTAAATTAGCTAGTACATCATTTCCATCAGGACTGAATGCAACATAAGTAGATGTTAATGTTCTATATCGCTTTCTGAAATCATCTTGTTTTAAAGGTAAATGTCCAGCAACAAAATAAGAAACACAACCCGATGGCAAATTGTCATCACCATGCTCAATCATTTCCTCGACATAAGGTTGCGTGTTCCATGCCGCCCCCGCACTGTGATGCTCTCTGGGATACTTAACAGTCGTAGGTTTAATCATTCTACGATCATAAAGCCTAACGTAAGGATCGTTTGCACCCACAGCTAAGAGTTCCGGTCTTAATGGATTGACTGCCAAACATTTCGCTTCTGCATTTCTACCTACATGGTAAACTAAATTGACTAGAACGTTTTTACATATATTAGAACATTGATGACTTTCTCTAAGGTCAAACTGCATTATCATCCCATCTTCTGCAGCACTCCAAAACATATGAGGGACATTAGAAGTGGCTGCAAGTCGTTTGACCCTTCCCCAGTGGCAGCTACAATTCATAACTGTTTCCTTCGATTGAATGTCGTATATTCTTATTCTAAAATCAGCAGCTCCACTGATGATACGTTGATCATTTGAGTGAGGAAGGAATTTTAATGAAAATATATTACCATGATGACCGCTCTGAATATTAAGAAGCTTCTTTCTAGTAAATGGCTCCCATAAAATAATCTGCAGGTCATCAGATCCACTAGCTAAAAGATTTCCACTATCGTTCCATTCGAGACAATTAACGCAACCACTGTGTCCTTCCAATTCTGCTTCTAAGCCTAGTCGATCAATAAAATTTCTTGTTACATGAAGCTTACGCATAAAACGGTATTGTGATCCATCTTTGATTTCTCTTTTAATTTTGTACCGAACAACATTGTTATAAGCCATAGTTAGAACTTTTGTTTTCAGGAATTAGTTAAGGGAGAATTTTTAATGCAATAGGTTTGCATGCATTGTATATTATTCATTTAATTGTCAAACTAATAAAACGAAGTGATTCTAAAGATAAGGAAAAGATCTATAGAAAAGTAATTCAAGTTTTAAATATAATTCAATTTCAAAACAATTTTTTCAGTGTTCTCAATTTGACAGTTTACTTCCAGGGGTTTACATAAACAAAAATTGAAGTGGCAGTATCGTCTCTGATAAAAGGTCGGCGTTTTGAATATTCCACTAGAACTCCATAATTTGCAAATACTGAAATTTATTAAAAATTATTGCTTCTCGTAAATTATTTATCTTATTTTATCTATACGATAATTATTATATCACAGAATGATCATTTAGGAGGAAATCAGAATGTCATATATGAAACGTTAACGGCAACCGACTGAAATTTTATCACAACGGTTTTTTAATCTGGCAAATTTGAATGCTGGTAAACTGTTATGCGTTGTTTTTACAATTGTCATTTTTAATTTTTATTAGAAAACATCTTTTAATAACTTTCTAAGAACTTATGCTTCTTTTATAGTTGTGTTTGTGATATTTCTATTCAACTTTTGACTTTTAATCAGTCAATATGACAGAACGAAATAAATTCGAAGAACTCAAGCAAGTTATCGTGAACACCAAAGCTAAAGTTACTTACCAAAGAGGTAGTTTCTTAGGAAAAGGTGGGTTCGCTAGATGTTATGAATTTAAAAATGCTCTCACGAAAGAAGTATTCGCAGGAAAAGTTGTATCAAAAAGTATGTTAATGAAACCTCATCACAAAGAAAAGATGTGCCAAGAGATTGAAATCCACCGTTCTCTTTCTCACAAATACATCGTTTCTTTGCACAGCTATTTTGAGGATGAAAGTAACATGTATATCGTTTTGGAATTATGCAGAAAACGTTCCCTGATGGAAATGCACAAAAGACGCAAGACCCTCACTATTCCTGAAGTTCGCTATTTTATGCGACAGATAGCGTTAGCTTGTAAATATATGCATGATAACAAAGTTATTCATCGCGATTTGAAACTTGGAAATTTATTCATCAATGATGATATGGAGATCAAAGTTGGAGATTTTGGCCTTGCTACTAGAATCAACCATGAAGGAGAAAGGAAGAAAACTTTATGCGGAACACCCAATTACATAGCCCCTGAGATCCTTACAAAACGGGGACACAGTTATGAAGTAGATATTTGGTCTCTGGGTTGCATTATGTATACTTTATTAGTTGGTTCTCCTCCTTTTGAGACAAGTACACTAAAGAACACATATAACAAGATAAAGAAGTGTGACTACTATCTTCCACCAAAATTGGATAGAAATGCAAGACATTTAATTCAGAAACTTCTTCATCCGGACCCAGATAAGAGACCCAATGCTGATACCATTCTAATGGATGATTTTCTTACAGCCGGCTACATTCCGTCTCGATTACCTACTTCTTGTCTCACTATGCAGCCTAGGTTCAACCACAATATGTCTTTCTGTGATGTATCCAGGATTGTAAACCGTCCACCTCTTGTAGATAGTGGAAACTTGATCAGGACAGCCATTCCAGAAACGGTAAACGCTGCCCCTGAAATCCCTGCAGCTGTAAACTATGATGAAATAAACAAGCGAAGTGATATGCCAAAGGATTCTTACCTTGGAGAGTTGCTAAAAATGTTGGAATCTGTTATCGCTTGCCATCCAGAAAATCTCTACACTGGTCAAGCCGAAGACGCTCAGGATCCATCGGCCGTTCCCTTTGTTTGGATTAGTAAATGGGTAGATTATACTGACAAGTATGGAATCGGTTATCAGCTTTGTGATAACAGTATCGGTGTGTATTTTAACGATGCCACTCATTTAGTTCTTTTAGCTGATGGAGAAAATCTTCAATATACTCAGCGCGATAACGTAGAAATATTTTACACTATGGAAAACCATCCTCAAGAAATGAGCAAGAAAATCACGCTATTGAACTATTTTAATACTTACATGACAGACAACTTAGTAAAAGCTGGTGAGAGTGCTCGTCCTAGGGAAGGAGATGAAATGGCCAATGTGCCCCATCTTCGAGCTTGGTTTCGTACAAAGTCAGCCATTATTTTCCACCTTTCGAATGGAACATTTCAAGCTAATTTTTTCAAAGATCACACAAAAATTATTTTGTGTCCATTGATGGGAGCTGTTTCTTTAATCGATGAGGATAAGAACTTCACGGTATACACTTTTCAACTCATTGAAAAGTTTGGTTGTTCTGCTTTATTGGCGTCTCGTTTACGCTATGCTAAGGGTATGGTTGAAAAGTTATATAAAGACTGTTTTACAACTGAGAAAGTAGCTACACCAGTGAACTCTGAATTTAAGTGTGTCAACTGAAATCAGTCTTTAAACTATCTTGTGTGTGCTATTTCCAAACTCAGTTCTTGATGAAATTGAATCTTGGTGTTTTAGAAAGAAAAATTTTTTTACTCTTGATGCGATGAAGAGTGTTGTACTCATTTTATTCAATTATTCTTTTACTCTGAATGTTTTTAATATATCTGAAGTTGAATTCTGTGTTTTATATGGTATTGAAACTTATACATTTTAAAGAATTGAAAAATGTCAATGTATAGGCTATTTTAAAATAGAATTAGTACTAGGTATATTTTTAAATAGTTCAAATTGTAATTGAATTTAAAATTTACAAAATTTGATGCTAGATATATTTCATTTTCAATAAGTATTAAATATTATAATTTTCATACATAAATGTTTTTTCAGGAAAAAAAACTTATTTTTTTGCAGTTAAGCTTATTTTGTATTTAATGCTCTTAAGTAGATTAATTTAATAGAGATAGTTCTTGATAGAGACATATAGAATTGTTTAAAATTTATGTGACTTAACTATTTTATTTACTAATGCTCTATGCTTCATACCTAATCATTGCATAATTTATATTAATAGGATATTTCCATATCGGTACCTCATTACAATTGCCTTTGTTTTTTACGTGTAAAATTTTTTTTAAGAAACCTAACAATTTGCCTTGGTGTGGGTGTAAGTTATACTATTCTTTTGGATGTTTTTTTAATATTTTCGCACATGCTGCTGACCATATATCTCTAAAATTCCACATTTATTTTTGTGCAAATGCTGTTATGGAAATCTTCCCTATATTTTTTTAGAAATATATTGTATTACTGACTGAATTTATTTGCTAAACAAGTATTTTGATGAAATAAGATATTTTATAACAATGCACTTTTAATTCTGATGATACAGGTTATTTTCAATGTAGTGCTTTTTTTAATTACTTGAAAATTAACATAGTAAATGTATTTTTTAGAAACATTTTTTTTTCAGCATCATTTCATAAGGATCAAATGTATAAAGTTTTATCTTATTAATAATCTAACTTACATAATGCTTATAACTGTGATTTGTTCCATTTATATTTTTATTTCTATATGTACGTAACTACTTTTAATAAAATTATTGTGATTTTATTAAAATTTTAACTGATAAAATTATTTTAATAGTATTTACTGTGAAAAATAAAGTGTGCTCATATAGACTAGAGTATGTAAGCGAAAAATTATTTAGATTTTGTAAATTATTTTTATTAAAAACTTTTTTATTAAGTTTTGTTTTCTTTAAGCCGTTATGTATGTTGTTAATTATTAAATATAAATATTTCTGAAATTAGTAGCTAACAATACTTGTGGTTGAAGAGATTCATCGATAAAGTCTAAAGATCTTGCTTAACTCAATGTTGATAAAATTATTTATTTCTTGTATATTCAGAGTCTCACAGTATAAGGATAAAGGTAGGTCCTTTCAATTTTTTTAGTTGAATTTAGAATTTTTCTGAATTACTCTTTCTGGACTTGGGCTGCGTTAACTAGCTATGATGTTAGCACGTTTATAAATAGCTCTTCAGAAATGGCCAATGTGTGGTACGTAAGTTTTGTTTTGACTATGAATTGCAATAGCAAAAATGTAAGACTTCATATTTAATTCTTCCATTTACACTTTTTATGTCATTGTAATTTTATTTTGAAACCAGTAGGGTAGGGGTGCACAACCTGTGGCCCGCCAACAGTTTATGCGCTGCCCGTGGGTACTTCTGAACACAATAAAGAAATTTATTTTAATTCAGTTTTTGTTTTTAAAAAATCTTACATTTTCTTAAATTAAAATATTTAATTCAAATTTATATTACTTTATAAAATGAGTATATTTATTGAATTTCTATTATGTAAGCTTCCTTTTGGTTGAAATTTATGTCCCCCCTCGAAATATATTTATATATGTTTGATAAATTAATTATTAAATATGGAAAAAGTTTTTTTTTTTAAAGTATCAGTTTTTTTTAAGTTTTAAATGAATTCAAATAATTAAAAGTATTTGATTTTCTGCAAATATGTTATGAAGTTATCTGATAAAAATATTTATATGAAGATTATATTTTCTGCTAACATAACTAAATATGTGTGTGACCTTCCTTAATTGATCTGCTGTGCAAGTGGCCCTTTACTCAAAAAAGGTTGCACACATTAAGGTCTAAAGATTGATAGTCATGATTGCTCAAAAGAAATCTTTATCATACTGTCGTATTTTAAAATTAAAATGTATCTTGACTGGATATTCACACTGTATTTTTGCAGCCTAAGAATCTAGATTTATAGAGAAAAAGTATTTAGCGTTTTGCTTCTGCTGACGCCTAACACAGTATATTATTTTCATACCATTGCAGCTGTAAGGTGTTGGAAGTTATCTTCAACAGGGTTCCTGCAGTACTTGAATTTTGTTGAAAAAAAATCAGGGCCCTAAAAAGTCCTTGAATTCTGCCATATAGTACTTGGTATTTGATTTTTTAGGAATTAATCTACTAATCTTTCTTACAAAAAAGCAGTAAAAAAATAATAAAATTCGAAGGATAATTATAGAAATTCTGATGTATGCATTTTTTAATGATTGACGTGAAAAGGGATTAAAGAAAATTCAAAATTTTTCTCTCCTAGATTATTCACACCAGAATATTGTTCATCTCTCTGATGTTTTAAAGCTGAAATTTTTAAGTCATAGTTATCGAATGATATATAGTGTTTAATCGATTTAGAAATATGTTCAATGTGTTAACTTCGTTATTAAAACAGGTTAATATTGTTATCCTATTGGTTCTATTTACAGAGTATTCGTGCACCTGGAAAGTCATGAATTTCAGTATTGAACAAAATTTGTCATTGATTTAGTTTAGGTCACCAAAAAAATCTAATTTTTAAAATGGAATTCCCCCTTCCCCCAATTTCATCCTGTTTCAAATATCTGAATTCCTAACAAAATCACCACTCAGTTATATTTTATTAGAATATAAAATGATTCTATCATGTTCTTTTAAAAAATGAAAGAAAAAACATTATTTCTAGAGGGAATTACCTTTTAAACTTCTGTGATTTAGGAATTTTTATTATTTTTTTTTTTAATTTTATCAATTTAAAATTCTTGTTGAAGCAAACCAGTCATTGGCGAACTATTTTTATTCCGAAATGAGAACAGAAAAATCAGGAGTATTTCTTTCATTTCTGATGAACAGGGAAAGTATCTTTAGAATATAATTCTGCAGAAAAAAAGGGGGGGGGGAATTATTTGCTATTGTATTTTTTTCAGTTTATTTTATTGTTTCAACTTTTTCTTTACTCTGTTTTTTAAATTTAAAATCTATAAATATGAAGATGCAGAGTATAACAGATTTGGTTATACCTAGATTTGGTTTGCTTATGATAGAATGGTAGATTTGGTTATGCTTTTTCAAATGGATTGTTGCGTTTTTGTCAGAGAAAATGGTAACTTCGTTAAGTCATGCAAAATTCTTGGAATGAGTCACGAATTTGAAAATCTAAAATGTAGCAGATAACCTGTATTTACCTACAAAGGATAATTAATTTTTTATCATTTATAATCGAATTTTTACATTTAGTTTTTACTGCTAATAAATAAAATTTAATTCTACAGGTTTCATTGATTATAAATAAACATCGTGATTCACATTAAACTGATTCTTGATTGACTGATCGGAATTCATATAAAATGTTCTGCGAATTGTCATTTAAATTAAAGTGATTAATGAATCACATATCGAATATTACTTTAAAGTGATTTGCAAATTACTCATCAGGATTCACACATCATGATTTCAATAAAGTCATTTCTGAATCATATAACGTGATACGTATTTAAGTAATTTCAGAATCATACCTCCCAATTTTCATTCTAGTAGTTTACAAATCACACATTGCGATTCACAAAAGAGAGATTTGAGAATTACCACTTGCAATTCTCATCAAAATGATTTAAGAATCACACATAGCTGTTCTATATTAAGCACCTTTCGAATCATTATTAGTTTGCATCATAATGATCACAATTCACGTGAAAACTATTAGCTAATCACGCAACAAGATTCATTATCATCAATGGCTCGACAGCCTTTCCTTCTCAAGAAATTTTTTTTTGCTAGTGTTTTACAATTCATATTGAAATGCTTCATGTATCACACATTGTGATTTACGTCTTGTTAGTGCGTTTTGTAACATTTGCTATTCATATTGTTCTGATTTAAGAAACATAAACCTCAATTTCAATTTACAAATCACACATTGTGATTTATGTAATCTTTGAGACTTGTTTCACCTTTCTTATAATTTTGATTTGCATATAGCATATCTAGATTCATATAAATGCGATTTAAAAATTACGCATATTCACGAAATTTTAAAAATCACGCTTTACTATTTATGGATATATTTTTAAAGAAAATAAAGCTTGGTCAGTCTTAGTTTTCTGTAAAATATTGTTCTACAATAGATTTTATTATGTTTAAAATACATTCCTCATTTTCTGAAGTAACAAAATAGATAATTTGTTATTAAAATTGAAACAGGTATGTTAAATGGATATATTTTGATATTTTATCTAACATATTAAAAAAAATTATATTTTAATAACTGTGCAATTACACAAACTTTATCAATTATTTACTATGCTTGTTTAATGTAATATACATTATTCATTCACTCAATTTCATTAATTCTAATTCACTTCATTAAATTTTTCAAGAAAAGTTTCACTGATGCTAGTTTTTAAATATTGGCTAATATCCTATGTCAATTGGAGTTTTTTTTTTAGTCAATTGGAATTTTTTAAAGTGATTTGAAACAGCAATGTAACTATCAACCATTTGTATTATTAGATAATGAATTTAATTTTTAAAAAAAAAAATTCGAATAAGCATTGTGCTTTAAATATATACAATTTCTGCTTCTACGTAATTGTAAAATCTAGTTGACATGCAATTTAGCATATTGTAATGCTGAATAGGTCCTTGAAAAGTCCTTGAATTTTTTTTAAAAAAATTGAGTGCGAACCCTGCAATTACAGGATTGAATCAATCCTGCTAATTTTGAAAAATTAAAAATAAAAAGAATCATTTGCATTTGAATTCTAATGTTGAGTTAATCTTCTAAGAAATATCTTTTGGGCTCAGACCACCATAAATGGGTGGTCTGAGCCCAACAGTGAGTAGACAGTGCTAGCCTTTATTTCAATATGTATCAGTTTTAACCAGTTATTTTAACTATCATAGTCAGCAAACAGCCATTTTGGCTATTGAAAATCTAACATTTCACTCTAATATATTATTGCTAAAGTTTTGTTTTTGTCTCTTAATTTATACAGCTTTGTAATTTATTTTGGATTATCAGAAAATATTTTTTGTAAACAAACTGATTCTACAGTTCTTATATAATTTAAAACTACTCTTGCGCAGTTTCTTGTTTAAAATCAGTCTTGGCCAATGGGTTACCTGCGTGTTAGGTAGTGTGGGTATCAATATCTCCAATAAATTATATTTCCTGATAAGTAACCAAATTATAATTTACAATAAAATTAAATGTTAGTTGGAGTTAATAACTTTATCAATCAATCAAGGATTTATTTAAGTTACTATCAATACTTAGATTTCGGTTACTATCAATATTAGAATAAATTTCCTAATCGCATGTTATTTTATTAGGTTATGATCAGTGCTCGAAACTAGCGCACCACAAGAAGTGAAACTAGGTACTTTTTTTCGTAGTTAGTAGTGTAGTGGGATGCAAAACTGGTATGTCAATGCATGCAATGAAAATGACCCTGTGGCTGCAGCTGACCGTTAACAGAAATTGCGTATTTAATATCACGTGTAGCTAGTATTTAAACTAGCCATTAAGATTAGATAATTTCACATGCGAATTCGCACTCGTGAAGCGTTATTTCCAAGGAAGGGAACGTATTTTCTATGTACTTAATGTTAATCGAAATATAAGAGAATTATAAAATTGCAAGTATTTGATTTTAGTACATTTTACCATTAATTTTATGTTGATATGTCAAGTACAATTTTCAAAATAATTTAATCCTTTTCTTTTTGTTATTATTTTTGCGGTTTTAGACTAATTACTAAATGTAAAAAGGAATTTTTCAGAGTTTTTCTTTGAAAGTATTTTAAAAATTATCAATAGTTAAGAAATTAGCTTATGTTAGCGTAGAACGTAAAACATTAAGCTTTTTTCATTTTTTAATCAAAGTTTTTTAAGAATTT